TTGTTTTTTAGTCCAGTTGAGATTTATGTACAAGTACGCGTAAATTCATATCATTATTTTTAATGAAACAAACACACAGCACATACTTTATTCAAATAAGAATCTTATATATAATTATTCACAAAAAAAGTCCGTTACAAAAATTATTCAACAGAATATAAATAAATATAAATAAATTCTCAACTTTTTTAAATAACAAATAAGAAATGTAAAAAACGAAACTGCGTAATTTATAAATAATTTAAATAAATGAAGCATTCATGTATATCCGAACCGCGTGATTAGAATCCACTTTTACTTCTTCAGTAGAAAACATTTGTTTATCTTTTTGTGTGTGTATGTGTGTGTTTGTCGCTCGCGCAGCTGCAGAAGAAAATAAATCATACGATTTTCTTCATCAATCATGTGACTTTTATTGCGAGTTTATGACTCAGAAATGAAAGAATGTGTCTCATCTGGTATATGTACGCTGTCCGGCAACACAATTACACGCTTCGTTGACAAATGTTTTAAACAAACTTGGCACTTGATCGCTCTTATCTGTAAGAGTGGCACTCTCGTCAGGATAACCCCTCGACACTCAGAGTCAGCGTCGCGTTCACCTTTGATCCATCGACCACTTAAAGCAATTAGTAACATCTCAAGATAGAACATTTTTTATTATCGCAACATTCAATGTTCACGTGACACGCACGCGCGGAATAAGTGAATCTCGTTAATGTATTTTTTCATTAACTTAAAAACTTATTAATTTAACAATCAGTATCCGTCGATCGAGATAATTGATAGAAAACAAAAGAAAACGACACGTTCGTAATTAACATTCATCAGATACATACAACAGATCTCTATCACCAATTGTAACGCATGTGCTAGGCACATTTATTTAATGCACATATATTATAGGAGTAAACATGTTAATGTGGACATTTGCATCGTATGTCTTCTTGCGAATATTTAGTTTGCATTCATATAAAAAAGTGCTTTTGTCCTATTCGAGAGGTTAAAATAGTAATTAGAAATTCCACATTGCTTCTACACGCAGTTAACGCGAAAAGATAATTAGTTTTAAATTCCTTGCGCAAGTACAAAAGTGTATTACACGTTTACCAGCGAATCGATAGAATTTGATATTGCTTTGATGAGATCAAAAAGAAACTGAGAAGATGTAGAAATTTGACGTCAGAAAAACAGTATATTGCGGGAATTAGAAATAAATTTCAAAACTCTTTTGATACAACGATTGGAATATTTTGAACAAGTTTTGAAAAAAAAAAATAATAATAATAATCTTGCACGCAAAACGAACGTTCTCTCAGTGAAAACCTCCCGTTTTTGCTTCGGATGCAAAGACAAAGTCTAACAAATGTAAACAATTCCACGCATGAATTTTCGATCTTGCACTCAAGTTTCAACGAGAAACTTCGCTTCGCGTTTTAACTGTCGCGCTATATCTTCTTAGTCAATGAGAAGTGTCGCCTGACAGGATGTCGCTATTCGCGTCGAGACATTCCTGAAACATATTCTTAGAATAAGATAACGACTTCAATGTTACTTATAAAAACTGCATACGTACCGATAACAAAAAGTATATCATTAAAAAAACTAAAACTAAAACAAACCAAATAAGATTAAAAAAAAAAAATATATATATATATATATATATGTATATTTAATCAGACAAAAAGAGATACGACAAATAAACCAACGCCAAATTAACGGAACTTCAGTCTAAAACGAAAAGACAATTTTTCAAAACACCGAACGGTAATTTGAATTGTTGCAAAACATGTGTCGAGGAGTTGCGACGAAAAATGATGAAACTTCTATCGACGCATTCAATGTCACTCGAGGTTGCGACGGGCAACGGAGTGTCGCGTGGGTGTCGCGACGCGACGAGTGCACGGTAACGACATTCGAGACGAGAAAAGGAACTGCGATATTACGACATTTCAAGTTCGTCGAAACAAATGATTGTTTGACCTTCCAGACTGTGAAATTTCATGAATCGTCAGCGGAGAAAATAGTACGACGAATTTTTTGTTTTCTCGGTAAACCGCGACGGAACCATGCGTCAATCGCGTCTGAGTAATGTATATTAAAAGAACTGATTGAAATTTTAGCACAATACTTGCTGACGCATGCGGACCTTTCCGTGCTAATTGACAAATCTGTGATGGACATTGCGATAAAACAAAATATCACACGAAGTACTTGAGCAGTTGAACTGGGAAGATGTTCTGTCCGGGATTCGATAATTTAGATTCGCTTTTTTTTTTTAGTGCTAAATGATGTACTTTTCGCAATCATTTTGTTTGTGGTTTGTCTCGCAAACAAAGATCAGTTCGAAAACACACAATCGCGTCAGCGATTGCGTATATACGTAGATCATGAAGATGATAAAAGCACTATAAAAAATCTATATCTCTGGAGTTTTGCTTAAATAATACTTGAAATCTTATCGGGCTATCGGTTGTTATGTATTGTCTATTAACGCTTCGAGCGATATCATATCAAATTATTGCGAGTATCGTTAGACTTCAACGTGTGCGAAACAGAAAAAAAAAACAACCTTCAAACCGACACGCGTGTTTAACAGCTTTAATTACCGACCAAGTATTTTTCCATTACACGTGTCAAATATTTTCCACGCACCACTGTGTGCTTTGAACTTATTATTTTTGACATCAGTATGAGTGAAAATATTATATGTAATGTGTTTATACATGTGCAAAAACATTTTTTCTCAAGTAATATTCACAAAATTCATTTTTCTTGACAACATCGTTATGGTAATTTCTACTAATCTAATCAATAATTAAGCAGTAATTACCCAACTTTGTTCAACAAACAGGAAAAAAACATTAACGATCGTCAATTTACACTGCCGTAAACGCGTTTGTGTGAGTGTTCGGTTTTTTGTTATACAGTCGACTGTGCCCGGCTATGATAGTAGCACAAATTAGCAATGGTGTCACGGGTAAAGTTACAGCGAGACTTTCTACAGCGATGACTGAAAGATGAGACGTGCCTTGTGTGAAATGGCGCGCCACGATTCTATCCAAAATCGCCCTTGCACACATTTCGCGCATTGTCGGTGTATACACACGCGCGACCTTCTTTCTCGAGCAAAGAAGCTTTCTCTCTCATCTCGCGAGTTTATCGACCCGATAGAAGCGGAACAACAATCGTTCGAATCGCAAACAATATTGTGCTGTTAATTATTAAAAATTACAAACAAACAAATAACAGAAAGATAGAATATTGCTATTAGACGCTTTTTTTGTTTTTTTGTAAAAGCATATTTAAAAAAAAACGCATTATGCGCGTTAGCGAGATGTTTGCGTGCGCGAGAGAAAATTTTTGAGCAATCAAATGGCAGTTGCACATTTTAAACGACCGAATTAATTGAGCCAGTTTAAAACCGATAAAAAAAAAGAAAAAAAAAGAAAAAACGACATATGATACAGAGCAACTTGTTATTTGTTTATCGCGAAAGTAACATGATGTTGTTTATATCTGTAAAATAACTTTCAAGTGGATTGTGGAAAATGTGAATTTTGTTTTTATATTTATATTTGTCAACATAAATAAATAACACAACTTGCGAACTGGTTTTTTTTAATAAAATTCTTTAAACGTAAATTTTTGAAGGAAAACTACTTACGTAATCAAGATACAAGTTAGAAGATACTTTTTTGTTAATGGAACACGATATTGCTACCACGCATGATACACCATATCAGTTTCGATAAAAAAAACCCATTACATTTCAAGTTTGATCCGACTCGCCTGTATAGGCGATGAATCACAACACGCTTCAAGATAAAGCTTGCAAATTGTGGTTTCCTTTTTTGAGCAACTGAAATATAAATGTATTTTAATTATTACTATTTCTTTTTTTAATAATACATAAGTTGCTATGCGCGATAAATATGTATATGTATACATATCATTTATTTAATTTCTAAACTCTTCCACAGGTACAGCTCTCGAATAATCAGAAATGACGTGTGTTCTCAACACGGAAATCGAAACCAAATGAGACATTAAATAACGCGCGCGCGTGCGCGCGATACGTGCAATTACAAACATTATGTAAAAATTTGATGCTTCTTATGCTTCACGCGCTTTGCGCAATCTGCAATTTCAATGCAACAAACTTGCGCGCGATATGCTTTTCGCGAAGGTTAATTATCCGGAGACTCGCACGAGTAGGCACTCGCTTCTCCGAGTGAAGTGACGTCTTTATTTTTCGCGACACACAAGCTCGATATCTTTGTCGACCGTTTTTCTTTTCGAGTCCCGTACGACGTAAAAAAAAAAAAAGAAAAAAAAAGAAAAAAATTGCCACAAAACGCCCAATTAACATAGGCGTAACATCCTCCTGTCAATAAAACACGACGTTAACACGTTTTTTCTTTTATAAAGCGGGGAATCCCTCGCATACCTGCGAATAAGAGTCGCAAGTTTCAAACAAAAGACTTCTCGCACGTCATTATGCAGGAAAACCCTCCGGTACGAGGCCAGAATTCTGTCGTAACGACAAGCGCGATTTCATTAGCTCGCTCGCCCATGTTGCTTGAAAGTTGGCCAATTGCTTACTTTGGTTGCTCGTACGTACGTACACAAACACACACACACACACACACACACACAAGCAAAAATAAATTTTGTATATGAACTCGCGCGTAATTTTCACCCACCGATTGTTCGCGAAAAAATTACCGATTCTTTTTCGATGAGTCTCGAAGGCTCGAGCGAATCTATTTAAAACTCGATTGACGAACATAACGAAACTAGTTCAGTGCAATGCGCATATATAATAATGCATATTAGTAGAATAATGCATATTAGTTGTGTACATGCATACAAGAGTCTAACTCCAGTACACGAGAAATCCGAAATCGAACGGGCAGCTTTAACAGTACAGACACACACACACATACACACACACATGCATACATTAAAGTAGCGAACTCCAAAAATCCGAAACTTACCTAGCAGGATCAACGTTTGACATTTCGTAATTCATTCTGTTCTCGTCGATAGATGTGATAGTTACTCGATGTCGATGCACCTGTGCGAGTACACGCGCACCCAGAGCTGCCGCTATTGCTACACGGCTTGAAAGAGTTGACTCTTGACGAAAAGCAGGGATCTTCGCGCGGGTGCGAAATAAAGCGCCGGGGAATTGACGGAGGTCGAGAAAAACGTCAAAAAAAAAAGAACAGACTCGTCGGATTCTCGTCGGAAGACGGGAGAAACGTTTTCGCGGACACACAACGGAGACGACGATCTCGCGCCGCTTCGATCACCACGTTTATACGCGCGTAGCCTCTAGCCGCAAGCGGGGAAATGCACTTGTACGGGAGTAGAACTTGGCAGGGAGGTCTCTCTCTCTCTCTGCAACGGCGCGTACCTCGTCGTCGTGTCCTCGCCCCTCCCTTCGCAGGCTTCTCTGCTCGAAAAGTGTGTGGTGTTCACGACGATCTTCCTTATCGCCACGTGTATTCGCACGTTAATCGGCGCGCGCGCGATGATGGACGGGTTAACTTTTAGCGCGACGACTAAAACGCGGTTCTCTCCGGCTCGTCCCGGCCTAAGCTAGCGATCACGCGAGTAGACAGTGAACACACGAGACGCGCGGAGGAGCCGGCCGCATCCAACCTACAGACGTACCCTTCTGTGCCTCTCCCCACCCAGCCAGCCCGGTCGGACCATAATCCGTAAACGTGATTGGCCAACGTGAACCACGCGAGCTTCTCGTTTCCTCTCTGTCGGCATCAATGCGGCGGTCTTCTTCTCGCCTTTTTCCGCGTACACACACACAATCTATATATATATATATATATATACGTTACTATTAGATATACTTTTCCTTTCTTCCTCGCCACATTCTTCGTTACACGGCCTGATGCTCGTTTCTTTTGGAACAGAAAGAGAGAAAAGAGTTTTTTTTTTTATACATTTTGAAGATATGATACAATACGCGCGTGATTGATAAGTAAAATATTCCGACTAATGATGATGTGAACTGAATATGCATCGATTTCGCAGACCAGCGGTCAGTAATAAGGGTGATTGCACGTAGATATATACACATATATATATGTATATATAATAATCGACTATTGACAGTACTTTAAGAGTGTGAGAAAGGAGTTGATGCGAGAATGTTTTTTTTTTTTTTTTGTTGTTTTTTCCTATATATGTCATAACTCTCTAGTCGCGTTCGTACGCGCGGCGATCGCATACAATATTCATCTTTACATTATTTATGCGAAGATCCTTTTGTCGCGAATCTTTACGACAATAATTAAACTGATCTTTCCTTGTTTTGTAATAGCACAGCGGTGTAATTGCCAGGAGTGTAAAAGGGAGCGCCTCTAATTTTTATTTCACATTTAACGAGAAATAAAGATAGAATGATCCTTCGAAACATTTGCAGTGAGACTGACCGCACTCCAAGTCAAATGTTTTTTTTGCCGTATATATATATAATATATAAACAGCGCGCTCTTGTCTTTAAGAGATCTTTAAAAGATGATTTTTAAAAACGCCTTATTATTTGTTTTAGACATTTAAGATGTCTTTGGGCCTTTGTATGTTGTCTGGATGTACGTTGTACTTTGTAAAGTTTGTTTCTTTTCCTCTCTGATGTGATATACGTATATTTTGTGACGTTGAATACAGAAAAAATATTGCATAATATAGAATAATCATGCTGGTTCTCACAACTGCTTTTTTTTTATTGACTGATAGTAAATATTAATGTATTTAAATCAGAATGGCGCAACACGTGTCCAGCTTTGACAAAAAAATATGTAATCTGTTGTTATGATAACAAATTAAATGCGATTTTTCTCTTAAGACGTTTAAATGCGACTTGACGTCAAGAATAAAAAAAAAAAGAAGTTTTTGCACTTAATGTAGAAATAAATTAGGTTATTAGGTTTTTTTTTTCATATGACTGTAACGTCATTCACAAAAGTCAATAAAACTAACCGCCAAAAACAAAAACACATCTATAAAATCTTTTCTTCGACGTGTCTTTGTCTTTGCCGAAAATATACGACGTGTATGTGCGTAGATTGGATTATATATTCATTTATTGGGATATAAGAAACAACGCGTACGAAGAACAAGAAACGCGAAATTTATATGAAACATTTATCACATTTTCGTATAATCACTAATTGAGTTTTAATACGGCATTAAACTTTGACGTAGCTCTTGAGGTTTTTTCCTCGTTACGTTTTTTTTTTTATCAGTTTCACGTTGGGAATGAATGATCATTTACAATTAGTCAGATCGCGCGTTTTGCTTCGGGAGACCGTGATCACTTATTAAAGGTCGACGGTCGCGTTGACGGACAGAATATTCCAAGTCTCTGTTGGAAGTTTCCGCGGTATTTAATCAAGCTGCATTATATACGCACTTACACGAAGCATATTTATGTCGTTTACGTACAACAAGGTTGAAACCTCGATAGATCATTGACACAGAATATGTTTATTTGAAATACGTTTTTATGCGTCTCGTGTTTTCCGATCGAAAGAATTTGTATAATTTATGCATTTTTTTAAATTCTTATAAACACACAAAAAAAGATATATCTGAGACGCATGTACGTAGATATGAGACGATTTTTTATTAGAGAAATCGATGACGTAAAAGACGTTTTTTTCGCACGCACAAAACAACGAGAAATTCATTTGTTTTTACTAGTGAAAAATGAAAAGTGATGAGTTTTTGTGTACGGATTAATGAATTAACATAAATTTGTTTTTGTCTATGAGCAACATAAGCGAAAATACATTTGTAAAAAATAATAAACGATGAATAAATTCTTGAGAACACAATAAGATTTTCGATTTTTATCAAAAGTTTATCATTAGCTTCCAGCGAATATTTCATGTGACAGATTTGATATAAAAACAATTTACAGACGTGTGTGTTGGACACGTGTAAGTAAACGGTTCTAAATTTGTTCAGAGTTTGGTTCAGCGACACTTCTTATACTTTTCATGTGCCTCTTAATTTTTCCTCGAAATTTCGAATTTTATTTTGATATGTTTATTTCGCTTCAGTGCAAAATATATACCGAAGTACAGTTAAAAAAAAAAAAAAAAAAGGAATGTTCGTATATGCGTGGATGTACACACATGTATACAATTGTGCGTTTATTTGGCGCACGGCGCACACTATTAGCATTAGCCATCACATGACAACGCACGCTTCTGTAGTTGCACTTGGTTGCAGCTCTCCATGGTCAGGAAAGCGCCGGTTTTAGCACGAAGTTGTGGTCTGGAGGGAACAAAAGATTTGTTTTTTTTTCCCTGAACTGGCTGCACTAGTTTACAGTCTATCTTTTTCTGTCCACACGAGAAAGAAAAAGATAGACTGTGAACTAGTGCAGCCAGTTCAGAGAAAACAAAGAAACCTTCTACAGATTCTCTCATTCGGTTCAATGAATCATGTATTTCAAAAACATTCAGAAGCATAAAAGAATCTCTTCTCTCGCTAACTTTCGAGCTAATGACTAGTCTTTTTTCGCGACACCATCTCTCTCATATATCCAATGTCTTTGATCGCGAATATAAATATTTAACGAATGTAAATATTTTGACATTCAAAGTTTATACTTTTTAAATAGTGCGTAACAAATATATTTTGATTGTTTTTTTTTTGTGTGAACAGTCTCTACGTTTCTGAATATACGTATTTTTTAAAAGAGATGCCTGAGTTAAACGTACATAGTACAGCAGAATCAATAAAAAGAATCTACATCCGCTTACAAAAATTGACAATTTGACATATACCGCGCCCAAATAATTCACGAACTGCAGAATGCGAAGGTTAGGTTAGGTTAGGTTCTCATTCCATACGTCTTCTAATCGTTAGCAGCTGACGACTGTGGGCGCTTTCCAGCTACGTACACAGGCGACACTTTGTAACACAGTGTCCATTAGTGTGAGAAAAAGCTTATCAGTGTGTCTCACTTACACTAGTGGACACTGTGTCGCCTGTGTATGTACGTAGCTGGAAAACACCCTGTCTTATCGACTGATCACTGAACCCCGCGAAACACAAAAACTGTGACGATCTACAAAGGATCGTAAGGACAAAATATGTAGAGATCTATAAGAGGAAATAATATACATGTACATATATATTGGATGTCTGAAATTTATATTGTGATGATAAAAAGTAGAACGGAAAAAAGCAGCAATTTTTATTTTAATACGTAACATAAATTGATGTGCGAATATAAGATATGGAATATTTATTTGCAAGAGTTTATAAAGGTGAAAAAAAATTGATGTTGCAAAAAAGATTTAAACTAATGGTTTAATAATAATTTATGTGTAATGAGCAAGCAAGTGTATATACATATATGGATTTATATATATAAATATATACAATTTTCTCTCTAACTTAAAACAATAACGTATATGTATATAGTACTTACATATAATCAATATAAACTTTTGCATAAAGATAACAAAAGAGAATCAGTCTTATTACAGCTACTGTCATTAGGATACATTGATGTCCCTTAACTTTCAAACGATGGATTGACTGATTTAACATTTGTACTTGTTTAAGCAATATTACAAATTTTTAAATATTTTTTTCCTAAAATATGTTCGTTATATACATATGTAAGCAATATTTTCCATATGTTTCATCATTACATAGAAATCAAAAAACGTTGATTGTTCTTATTCTTAAATTATCTATTATTTTGTAAAGAATTAAAAAAGTTGAAAGTAATAGTACGACATGAAATAACTTGTGATATATATAAATATGGATGTAAATATTGTGGATACAAAGATTTGTGTATGTTGTGCTGTATAGAATTGATACAACATTATAATTTTTAATTGATATGCCTATAAGTACTTATACTTTATAATAATATATACAAGAGTTTTCTTAAAATATACTTAAACATTTATAAACGCATGTCCCTAGTCTGTTCAAATAGATCTTTATTGCTTCTGAAAAATTGTTCCTCGATGTATATATAACGATTTATAAAATATAAAAACACTTTGTTTCTATTATTGCACTTTGAACTTCTAGTTGAAAGTTCAATAACATACAAATATAAAATATTTTTGAAGAAGAAGTGTTCTAACAGCTTGCTAATATAATTAATAATAGCGTGAACACCAGTGAGACATATGTCTAATTACAGACAAATCAAAAAGCATGTTCGATTTGTGTTAAAATATATATACAAATTATACTTTTTTCTCTTCATTCTCTCTGATTTTCAAATTCTTTAATTATTCAGCTCTCTTTGAATTTCTTCTAGTGTTTTGCCCTTGGTTTCTGGCACCAGGAAGTAGACAAATATTATACCAACCACACAGAATCCGGAGAATATCCAAAAAGTACCATAGGAGTGAACGGCTCTAACTAAGCTTTCGTAAAAGTAAGTTACTATAAAGGCCATGAGCCAGTTGAAGACGCAAGCGCTACTGCCAGCGATTCCTTTTATCTCCGGCGCAAAAATTTCTGGCATCATCATCCACGGAATCGGTCCGAAGCCCAATGAAAAGAACACGAGAAAGATGCATAGTGGGATTATTGCGAACCACTTGGCATTGTCAAAGGCGGTGTTGAAATCTATGCAATAGAAGTAAACACCGAGAATCAAAGTCGTAAGGAACATAACGACAATCGATGACAGCAGTAGTATCCGTCTACCCAGTTTGTCGACTATAAGAGAGCTCGCAAAGACGGATACCACCTGAACTGCTCCTGTGATAATGGTGGCTTGATCGGGTGGCAGTGTGCTGCCGGCGTCTTTGAAGATTTTCGCCGAATAGAAGATGATGGCATTCACGCCGCTCATCTGTTGAAACAACATTAATCCGTAGGCAATTACAAATCCTTTTTTGGCGGCCCGAGATTTGATCGCGACGAGGAAAGATGTGTTGTTACGGCTTGCCTCTTCGAGATCTGCCCGATGCTGCTGCAATTCGGTATCGACATCATATTGATGACCACGAAGTCTGACCAAGCTTTTCCTAGCGGCGTCATCATTGTGTTTTTTCAAGTAGTATACGGGTGTCTCCGGCATGAAGAAGAATATCGCAAAGAAAATCAGTGGCACGATCGCCGAAATAATAGATAGATTTCTCATGTTTTTGAGAATAGCTCCCAAAACGTATGTGATCAAGATACCAACAGTGAGCATTAGCTGAAAGTAGGAGCCGAGCGTGCCGCGAATCTCACTCTCAGCTATCTCTGATGTATATAGAGGAGCACCCACGCAAAAAGCTCCGGCGCTAAGACCTGTGATGAATCTACCGAAATAGAAGAAAAGTACCGATTTAGAGAAGATGATGAGCAGCCAACCGACAGAGAAAGGAATCACCATGAGAAGCAGAGCAGTCTTCCGTCCAATCAGGTCCGCTAATATACCGATCGGAATACATATTGCACCTGCTCCGACAGTAGCAAGTGAACTAATCAAGGAGAATTCATCTGCGTCTATTGGTATCCCATACTTCTCCTGTAAGTCTATACCATTTTCCCCCGCAGATGATGACCAACCGAGTACCATACCAGCGGCAACAGCACCGAGTGTTACTGCTATACCTGCCAGGTACTGTGGTAATCTCTTAGCTTGACCAATCTGGCTACTATTGGAGACTAAGGTTTGTTGCGATATGCCAATTTTCTCTATTTTTCCCATGGCTTGGTCGCTGGGTGACAAAAGAGGTGTGTTCTCGTCCGTCTGAAAGCAATTATTTGATTATTAAATTTATTTTATTATTAAAATACATTTAAAATATTATTTATCTTACAAGCTTCACTATATAAGTGAAATAAGAATTATAAAAAGAAATTGTGTATATATAGTGAGAAAATTTACACCAAGAATTAATGTTTCTAATTCTAATTTATATTTGTGAAAAAGAATCAATATAGTCACATATTTAGAGGATAAAAATGACAAAGAAAGGAGAATGTGCAGTACGTATTTTTAATTAAGTATTGTGCGTATATGTGATCTTATAAATAGTAAAAAATTTTTCTCATCTCTTTTTCTGCTTCTACTTTATGTAATATATAAAAGATTAGAAATACATATATATTTTTTAATCTATACACACAAAATTTCTTGCATATAAATTATTATCTTATAAATTATGAAATAACATGTGTGTGTGATATAAAATAAGGAGTTGAATTTAACTTGAAATGTATGTTGTGTCAGTTAAAAAAAGAAGAAACATATTTGCAGTATGGTCAGATAAATATATGTGTTGTTGACGAGCAAAGCAGAAAATGTTGCGATATAGAATTACATACAGAACACATTGGTGCCGTATTTTCGGCATTCCAGATATAATCCGTCGCCATTTCGATGTGTGAGATGTCTATTAATCTATTCTTCAATATAAAATTCTCAAAAAAATGCAACAAGTTCCAAGTTCCAGTGACAACTTAATCGACGATTACGTTGACAGTTGCAAGATTCTATTGTTGCTTTGTTTGTAATCTACGCCCGTTTGGAATCATACTTGTGACATCTATCGGGAATTACGAACAACCATTTCGATTTATAGAAAGGTAAGTAGATTTAGAGGTAAGTACACACATCGTGTCCTAGACCAAGCACTCATGATTAAATTTTATATTTAAGATTGTCTTAAGTTCATCTTTACATGCTTCGTAGTCAATAAGATGGCTCATATAACATTTTAAGATAAATTTAAGACCATCTTAAATAAATGGATTATGAATACCGGCCCTACAGTAGTTTTTTTTGCGTGTTTTTAATTCAGTTTAACTTAGTTATTTATTTTTATATAAATTTAAAATAATTTAAAATAATGATTTAACTTCAAAATAATTACAAATTTTACACGCATTTTCTTTGTTTGCGTTGCATTATATCTTCGTGTCTATATTGATTCGTATAAGTCCACGTTTCGTATAAGTCCATGTTCAAACGCAATACGCGCGCGCACACTTGTACAACATTAAAACATTTTCATGTTGCAAATGCTCTCTCTATATTCTTATCGGTTTGAAATGTAAAACGATATCACGATTATGCAAACACTGCTTATGATAATCTAAAAATTGTTTATCGAGGTCTAAAAAGTTTCCATAGGTATTTTCCAAACTTTTAGAAACACGACATTAAATCTTAACTTGAGAAAAATATATTTTTAATTTTTTATACGCTGTTTCTCTAATTATATAAAAATAATAATAAAACTAATAATATATATAGCTGATAGTTTAATTACAAGAATACTTAATAACAATAATAACAATAATAACATTGCTGTATAACAATAACAAAAATGCTTTTACACACATATGTATAATATAAATGTGTGTGTAAAAAGAACTACATTTTAAATAGAGAATAAATTACTGTATAAAAACTTTAGAATATATACATTCTCTCTCTCTCTCTCTCTCTCTTTCACTTTCTCTCTTATTGAGAAAAAAATAAAGAATTATATCTACAAACATAATACAATAAAACAAATCGATATATGCGTAAGATACGCAGATATCTTATATAGCTCAGTTATATCGTAGCTTATCATGATGTATGTACAACAATATATCTCGCGCTCTGATTGCTATTCTTACAACACAATCTTTTTATATAACATCTTACATCACAGCACGATTAAAATAGTTATTCAAAATTTGGAGCAGTTTTAAGTATTATAGTAGAAAAAAATGTATTATATCAATTTACGAAACAAATATGTATAATTCATAGACTTATTTTTTATAAATGTATACTTGTGTATTGTTTATCTACACATTTTCTTATCATCGTGCACAAACAATAAGATTCCGCGATATCGTTTCGCAAGATTACTTTGTGCAAAAAAATCTTGTGAACTTGTAAAGAATAAAATTGAAAAGAAAAAACAAAGCAGACGTAGCAATCACATGATACACGTAACGAGTAAAAAATATTTGAAAAGTTTAAATATTAGATAGATAAGAGATGTTGCAAAATGCGCAGTTGTGTAACTTGCTTTCCGGTTTCAAAAGAAAATATATTTCGCGGAATGTTCATACGTATACAAGAAAATATAGTGTGATGTTTTACGTAAAATATATTACAAATCTTACGTACGTATAGCGAAAGATTCATAGTAGCAACAAAATACATTAAAGGAAAATTTTACCGCACAAGGAAATTAACGCAAACGAGTTTCTATCTTCGAACGCAACACGTTTTAGATGACGATAACAAAAAAGACAATTCTCTTAATGTTGTATCGGTGTATATATATATATATATATATATGCTCCACGCGATAACAATGCGGATTACGTAAAACGCACACGATACAATCGGATTTAGTGCACATTAACCGATTACACGACGCACACGTGTATTTACAATTCACGTGTATACGAAATTCCTTCTGTGTCCGCGCACAATTTGTTGAAAACATTCGATCACTTCAACGTTATTCAGAATAGCAACAGTTTGAATTAAATATATTGCAAATTGTGCGCAATAATTTATATATATATGTATATCTGTTTATCAATAAAAAAATTACTTTAATGTTAGTTTTTCTCTTTTCTCTCTCTCTCTCTCTCTCTCTCTCTTTCTCTCCCGCACTGTAATGTTAGTAATATTATCAAGATTTTTTTTTATTTATGTGTCGCACATGTCATTCGTTTATGTGTATAACTCCTGTATCATTTTGTTATCTAAAATCATGAACCTTCACCTTGACACGAGCGCGGTTAATCTCTCCGTCCATTTCGGGATAATATCTTTTTTACTGCGCTTTTTCTTTGCGGACTTTCCGCAATGTCACAATTGCATTGGTCACACCAATAAAAGAGCAACATTTATTATTGATCACGCAATAATACGAAAATTAAAATTAAACGTGTGTGATTTCACTTCAAAGAGAACAAGAGTGTTTTTTAGATTAATTCGTTACACTTCATAATTATTTTATATATCAGTATGTACCTTGCGCAATGTTATTTTTTCAAATTTATATAATAGATATGAAGAATGACGAGAAAGAGAGGAATATTACTATCATTTATCTGTGTCACGTTATCATCAGCCGTCCGAAAAACAAATAATTATTATTGAATCGAACCTTCTCATTTAAGCAAGAGCGTGTCTTTCCTTGAATGTATCTCTCTCATTCTCTTTGACGTTCTCAGAAAGACTTGAAATAAAAAGCCTCATAAGCACGCAATCAATTGCAATTGCAGATAGCACCCCAGATAGTATCCCCCCTTTTTTTTTACAAGCAATAACACGCCGTGACAAGAGATAATGCGTAAAGTGATTTTTATGGAAATTTATGTCACTTAATGCCAATGTGCAACATAGACAATATGTGCTATACACAACATCGAGAACCAAGGATTAAGAACTATTAAGTTGGAGATTAGACGCGGAATCGCGCGAAGTATTAATGCTATATTAATTTTATTGCTATACAATAGAATTTATATGGCTTTTGCTTATAGCGCGCGTTTTTTACTTAAACGCATTAAAAGGATGCGTCAAACTTACATTATTAAAAAAAATGTTACATAGTCGTCGATAAGGCGATACTATCGGTGACGTTTTTTTAGAAAGCAAATTTTACGATAAAAATGTATTTTGTTGTGGCAACATTGCGGTACCTTTTTGTCAAATGATGATTTTTTGTCGTTTCACTGATAACGCTCGTGTGTGTGAACCACTCGAGAACTTTTAGCAAAATACAGGATAAATACACTTGAACAAAATGTCGGATAAAGACACTTGAACTTGCTGTACGTAATTTCGTTACATTTAGATAATCTCAAAATGATAAATTGACTGATATCATATAAAATAGCTTATGTAAAAAATCTTTTTTATGATAAAAATCACTTTTTATTTTATGTAAAATAAAAAGTGTAATATAAAATCTAAAAAACGTTTCTTCTTCGCGTACAACTTGATTTGCTTGCTTCCGAATGTTCGCAAAGATTATTCGGTAAAAAGAGAATATTTTACGAGAGAGCGCGTGTTTGTTATCTCGAACTTGTCTTACCAGAACATACATAATATCGCAGAAAACATGCGTAATATTGGGATTAATAAATAGAAATATATTATCAACCTTTTTTTTGTTTGAATTTTTTTTGTTTTATTATATAAAATAAAATCTAACATCCTAGTTTTAATATATTAATTTTTTAATATCACCCAATATATGTAGAATATATTATTTATAATATATTTATAAAATTATATACGTGTTGTTTTTTTGTTAATATTTTTTCGATATTTCTTTTTGACAAGTAACACGTTCTGTTTAGAAATATTTCAACTTTGTTGTTGACAAATGTTTTCGCATCACATGTACGTCTTGACACGTTTGTAATTAAGCAACCCAATTATTAAAAGCTTATTAAAGATACTTTAAATATGTAACAACACGTTTCAGCGGTTGTTTTTATACAATCGTGCACTTGAACGCTTGAAACTCAATCGCGCGAAAATGATTTATATAACGATCCGCAGTTTCTTATGTAAGATGACACCACGTAGTATGTGGTCCCCCCGAGGTCCCATCTATAATTTTTGTTTGCCGTGTTTTTCCGCGTCGCGTTCGTTGTGAAAGAAGAAAACATAAAAAAAAACCACGCGGAAAAAACAAACTCGTGTGTCGAAATTGTGCATAAAACTAATTAACGTAGCAATAATGCAATGAACGCAAACGTGACATAAATTACGAAAAAGATTACAGTATATGGAATTCGTGGGTTTTCCTATTATATCTATATGTTATATGACGATAGCGATTGCGAAGTTATTAAGAAATGTGCTCAAGTGGATGGGATTATACTCGATGATATCAACTATCGGGCCGTGAAATTCCGTTTGTATTAATCATTGAAATATGTGTAACGAATTTTAAACACAAATAAAATTGAATATTTATAAAATTGAAATGTTTTACAAGAATTCTATTATTCTTTTCACATACTAATAAGTTTAATATCTTCGTAACGCAATCTGATGTCCTTAAAAATATAATTTTTAATCAAAATTGTTTTCAATTATATTTAATTTTTTTTCTACTTCAATGAAAATTTTACACATCAGTAATGTATATTATTTCATTAATTTTTGAACCAGGTTTAACATTTTTTAAAATTTACGACATACGACATTTTTATTATTAAAACTATTTTCCACATTTCTTTTAATGAGATAAGATTCGTCTTTTAATGAGATAAGATTCGGAAAACTCGAAAACACAGAGTGCTTTTATTCGCGTGAGTAGAAAACACGCAGTATGCAAAAATACGCAAGGTGGGAAATTTACAAGCGCGCATAATGATAAGGCTGCACCGCCGGATTTTAAATGTTATAGTTATAGCCTTATGTGGCATATGTTAAAATTGGAGGAATGCGATAAAAAAAAAAAAAACTCAACCTGCATATTTACGACGAGCTCGCACGTTTTTTATAAAGAAAACAATACCGCGCACACAACAGAATGCGCAGCTCGGTCTCATTGTATTTTCAAATTTTTTGCTCTATTATACTATGTCACTCGATAAAAAAGCGTTTGTGATAAATGAATGTTGCACAGAGTATTTCAAGTATAGAATGAAACCCCAAAGTAACTAAATAGCTAGCATTTTCTTTTTTTTTTTTTAAACAAGACATAAACACATGCGAAGAAGAGCAATTTTTCACAGACGGAAATCCTCGTTGCGATCTCGAGAATTATTTACTCGGAAATTCGGTAATTAATTAGAAGTTGCGATTACGCACCGGAATAGTTTTTGTTTTGCTTGTTGCCGTTCTTTTGACGTTTCTTTTCCAGGCGACTGTGAACAGTGTGACACAGGACGTCAGACCAAGCTGACCACTAGCAGTGTATCCTGATGCGTGCACCGTCGCGTACTGGCCAATATGCTGAACATACAGCTCGTGTGTTGGGCGTAAAACCACCAATCATTATCCCCGACTAGAATTCAAGTCTTATCAGCTACAGATGTCGAAAGCGCGAAGATATGTAGGTACGTATTTCTTGATTAAATCAGGCGTATTATATATATATTTGTTTGCCGTGCAAGCGAATTCCTTTCCGCGAAAACCAAAACAATCTTTTCGCAATTGGTTTGCTTGCTTTTTTTTTTTTTTTTTAATTGATTCTCCTCGTCGGGATTCTCCCGGGATCGCAATCTGGCGACTGTGGATAAAAAATTGATGTTTTTTTGTGATATGCCGACAAATCTTACGTTCTGCTCGATGTACTATAATTGCGTATAATGGCGCGAAATAGTCGCGTCCGCAATTTGCGGACAGGACAAATTATTGAAAAATGAACGCGCGCGAAATTGCTGTTTCAAGTGTGTGAACCATGTGTTCCGTCGAATCACATCAAATATTTCAGCGAAGTATGAATAGTATGCGAGTACAAAGAACAATAAAATCTTTTTGCATTTCCTGAAGAACATATATTTTATTCTCGTAATTATGAATAATTATTTTTGAAAAACTGACGAGTTTGTGTGCGAACAATCAATCGCATTACTTTAGAAAATGTGTACACACGACACTTATTATATATTTTATATTTTGTTTCATGTTGCAAAATGTTACATAACTGTTTACGTTTATATGTTTATTTACATTTTTAAACATATATGTTCACGCATTTGCACAAATTAGGTAAAAGTATCACAAACTTTTATTGTTTTACACAATAATAACGACATGAATAAGAAAAACAAATTAAAAAGTATGTATTTCTCCATATTGCAATATTAAGTTTAAAAAAGTAGAAAAATGTTTCTAAAAAGATATTCAATAAATTTAACGTGAATAAAAATGGCTCTAACTTGCTCTCTCTCTCTCTCTCTCTCTCTTCTCTCTCTTTTTTTTTAGCATGTTTATTTTCTTTTATTTTATATACTCAAAATAATTTTGTTGAGGAAAACACAAACGCGACATTGAAAATTGAAAATGCTTCCTCAACATGTCTCTTATCAGAGCCGGAGCATTGCGTAAAAAGTAAAAGTTGTTTGTATAATTAATGTTTAATTTTGCATATAGAAGTGAATTAAGTAAATGTTCGAGCAAATTTTGTGGTTTGTGTTGTTTCATCAAAAATTTAAATTTACGTTTGAAACAATTCGTTTCCGTTTAAAACAATTGCCATTCTTTTTTTTTTTTTTTTTTTTTTTGAATATATTTTATTATTTAACTTTCTTCGAACTTGTGCAATATATTTACTTATCTATGCTTTTTTTTTAAAATACTTTAGATAATACTTTTATGTAACTATATATACTATTGCGCTTCTGGAATTATTTGCAACGATTGCTTAGCAGAGATTAATAAATTTTTTTTTTTTTTTTTTTCATCTACAGTACCTGTTTGTGTATGTGTAGCATGTGATTCATGGCTTGCACTGTTTGCATATCTGTCTTCCGCAGAATTGCAAGTAACAAGAACAATTGATAAGCAGCGATTCTGATAACTGTCAATAATATTTATTTTTTTTCAACAAGCTTGGATGCAAGTCGATATCGATCGCAATCGCTGAAAGAAAGCAAAAATGCATCTGTGTGTGTTACAAAAAATGTTATATACTATATGTTTCTTACGTTTCCACACAGTGTTAGAATCCGAAATCTCTCTCAGAGAAAGAAGCCGCATCGGCCAAAATAATTTGAATGCGACCGATCATTCTTTCGTCGTCCGAGAAAAGTCACTAGAATTAGTATCAATCGGATTGATCGATAGGTCGAATTGCCGAATCGCGATTGATCGATTCTCGACGTGGTTTGCAAATACGACTTGCGACCATTTCCCGACCATTGTGGATTCGTCATAAATTAGCTTTACGTGTGCGGCGCACACGCATATTTGTCTGTTGACAAAAATTCAAATTTAAAACTCGTCGTTACGTTAGTGATTGAAATAAAGTTTATTGGTGTTTCTCATGTTTTTATCGCATCTTTTTTCATGTTACTTGTACTACCTTACAACAAAATAAAGAAAAGAAAATTTATGCGATAACCAAACCGAGTTTTGTTCGAACGATATATCGTAGTTTTTGATGTAGAGATTGTCAACAAAAAGCCTGTTCACACATTGGTTACGTTACGTGAATTACGTTGATTAATGTGTGTTTATTAGGACAATTAAAAAGGACTGAAGACACGCAAACTGAGAAAAGAGAATATTCAGTTAAGTATAAAATGTAAGAAATATTTTTGCATTAGAAAACACACAACGAAGTATTTCATATTAATACAATTTTGATAACATGCTGTTTACATTTTTCATATTTTATGATAATTTCACTATTTTAAGAACAGTGCAAGTATTTAATTTGTATATGTTATTTATATACAGTAAACTGTAACTATGAGTAAAGAGGAGAACGAGGTTATCTTGGAAAAAATACTCGACGGACAACTTCAAAAGATGACATCACTTAAGAAAACTACATTATTGTTACAATGTACATGTCAATTACGTGTGCCCTTTCATAGTATAGAAATACAATTTTAATAATATTATATGCTTGTGAAAAAACACATATTTCACTTAAAATATTATTTATTTTTTTTAGGTAAACATGAGATAAAGGATGATCTTCAAGAACTGCACACTGTTGTATGTCAGGTCTCGAAAGATGTTGAGGACATGCGAAACATTTTGACAAGAATCAAGGAACAAAATGCTCATTTGAAAGTAGGTTGGCATTAAGTTTATTTAATAAAAATTGTTTTTGTTTAAGGAAATTTACTAAAAAATATATATGTGTACATAGAAATTATCTTCGTTACTTGAAACTTTGGATAGAAAAATAGTACACCGAACACAAAATATTCCAATAAACCTCATACAGGACTACCAAAGTGTGAAGAAGAAAGAAAAAAGTTTCAATTTATTGTCTCCTAATATATTAGAATACAGTTTAAATTCAATTGAGTTATCAACTCAGTCAAAGACATCTGGCAGCGTTAGATTGAAAAACAGTGAAATAGAGAATTGTAAAAGGGTACTTTCGTACGAACCAGATATCTGCTTGACAATCCCTCTTATTACCGCAGAAGAATTCAGTAAAATACCCAAGTACATGATTGGCAGACAAACACTGGAAACAATTAATGGTTTGATAAATGGCATCAATCAAACATTAATTGCAAAATATACGATCTTGTTGTCAGGAAAAGTTGCTGCCCAAAAAAAGGGCGAAATTAATTTGTATCTGCAATATAAGAAGCAGGAATATGAAATGAAGGGAGAGAATGGTAATTTTTTGAATTCTGACAACTATTATCTACGGCATAAAAGTACTTTGAAAAACTATTGTATTTTATATTGATATTATTATTGTTGGCAGGATATCTCTATTTTTTCACAGCTGAAGATTATTACAGGAAAACAAAAACAAAGCTCGACAAGACCAAATTGAATTTAATTACCGCTTTGCGTCACTGCAAACGTTTACGTGACTGCAGGATAAAAAATGAATCACGATATGTTATAACATCACAGTAATTTTGAACAGCATACGTGTACATAGAAATTTGTAATATAGTATATATCGAAATAAAAAATCACTTAATAGCTTATATATTATTATCGCTAACATGATTATATATGAATTGTGATATTGTACTTTTTATATTGCTTGTGGGTTTTCTTCATAGAGTTTTTGAAATATAATACATATTAACAAAATATATGTATATGTATACATATATGTTAAATAAATATTTTAAATATAGTAAATGTAAGGAAACTATATATAAAATATAAAACACTAACGCTGTATGTAATGTTTATAATAATTAAATCATATTTGTAAGTCTATATTAATTTTATAAATACATTTGTACGAATTTTTTATATAATTTACCACTTTTCACATTTTATATCAAGTACGTTGATATCAAAAACAAATTAGAAACAACAAAAAAAACAGTCACTTGTTTCCGATTACGAAGCTGATTTGTTTCTTCGTCATTTCAGTCAGTGAAGAAGCTGAATCGTGGTAGCAAGCAAAAATTGCTTTCAGGAATATTGAGTGTGCCATGAAAGAAGATTTAAATATTTGCGTTCTTTTCAAAGAAAAAGTAATCTGCTCTATTGTTTTTGTTATCACGTTTCGAATATTTCTAATCTATATACGGTGTGAACAATGAATTGAACATTTGCAATGTGTCTTTTTGTCGTTTTTATTTAAGATTTATTACATTATTTATATAATATACTTTTTCTCCAAAAATATTTATATATATGCACGTATATATACTTTGTATATACGCTTTTGTAAAAATTAAAATATACTAAAATAAATTTATTTTTATAATATGGATAAAATTACTCTCATAATTAATTGTTATATTTTAATATGGAATATGCAGCAATAAAATATGTTAAGAGCAGAATCAATTAGTACAGTGAGGAACCATGAAGATGATGTTAACGATTTAAATGGATCTATTGTATGGTCTCAAGAGGAGCCATTGTCATCTAATGAAATATTGACTCTACTAACTGAAGATCAAAGAGAAAACAGTTTACCTGCGTTCTGCCGATTGTGTGCTAATCAAACTAATAATCCAGTACATATGTATTCTGAACTTGGAGAATCCATGAAATTGGAACATAAAATAAACACATATCTAAGCATCAAGGTATAAATAAACTAAAAAATCTATAAAATTATATATATATATACTTACATTTACTTTTTATATATAATATATATATATATATATTTCAGATTAGAAAAACAGATCCGTTGTCAAAACAACTTTGTCTGGCCTGTATTGAGAAGATAAACTGGTGCAACGATTTTGACACTCAGTGCGTCAAAGCAGAAGAAATTTTGTTGACAATGCTACGAGAAAAACAATCGTTTAATATCAGTCATGAAAATAAAATCTCATCCGAGATTCAACAATCTTGTCTTTTGTGTACAGAAGATTTTTTTATGAACACATGTGAAGACGTTTCCCAAGATACAAAGAGTATGGAAGTGTACGAGAACATTATTATTCTTGAGAACAGTGATGAAGAAGAGAACATCGTTAATGTTGCAAAAGTTGAGAAGATTGAAAAGAAAGATCATTCTATCGTGTTACAATACGCGGGAGATAAACAAAAATATTTGAAATGCGGAGCATGCATGAATCTCTATCACACTCAGGAGACTCTGGACAGTCACAAATGTAAGCCACATGTTCAGAACACGACGCAGCTATACAAGTGTTCTATATGCGGCATAACGTTTACCTTTGAAGAACGACTAAACTTTCACATGCAATTTCACAAGAATGGGAAAACACTGTATTGTGAAGTCTGCAAACTGACGTTTGCCAAAGAATTAAAGCTGTTTTATCACTACAAAAGATATCATTCCAGTGATGTCAGCTTTTCATGCTTGCAGTGCGGAAAGCTATTCGAGAACCAGAACGCGCTTCGAACGCACATCTGCACCGACGGCAAGACTCGGCCGCACATCTGCGAGGTGTGCAACAAAGGCTTTACGGACGGTTATGCTTTGAAGCGTCACGTAGTAACGCACTTGCCGGAGAAACCGTTTAAATGTTCGCAATGCTCGAAGAGCTTCACGCAGAAGTCCAGATTGAACAAACATATCGCAAATCATTGCATCGTCATCGAAGACAGCCAGACGGTTTGGAAATGCGTCCAGTGTGGCGAGGTGTTCGTCTCCTGCGACAACTGCGATGTACATTATTACGAAGTACACGAAGAAAAAATCACTCTGATCGAGGAACTGTTGATATCGAGGGTCTATCATTGTGAGTTTTGCAACAGTTACTTCGCCGATGTGGACAATCTGAGTTCTCATCAAAATCAACACGTTATCGAAAGACCGTACACGTGTAACACGTGCAAAACCATTTACAAATCGTTCGGGGAAGCTGTTATGCATTGGAAGGAACATCCAAGACTCTTCAGAGTTCTCATTTTCTTTCTATGCGACATTTGTTACAAAGACATGAAGGAACTGTCATTGTTGTACAAACACAAGCAGAAGAGACATGGTTACGCGTTGAGATTGTCCGAGTCCGGTGAATCAAAATTCATTTGCCAGCTCTGCGGAAACGTGTTCGATAAAAGCGAGGATATACAGAATCACGAACAACAACGGTGCTCGAAATTTCCCTGCGATATCTGCGGCAATCTACTGCCCACCGCAAACTCGCTGAACGCTCACAAGAGACGGCACAACGGACTGAGACCGTACGTTTGCAACATCTGTGGAAAAAGTTACACTCAGTCCAGCCACATGTGGACTCACAGGAGATTCCACATGGGCATAAAACCTTACGTTTGTGATTACTGCGATCAGCGTTTCACGATAAAGCCGGATCTGGCGGATCACATCAGGAAGAAGCACACGAAGGAGAGACCGTTCAAATGCGACGTGTGCAACAAGGCCTTCCTGACCGGTTCTGTATTTTATCAGCATAGATTGATACATCGTGGCGATCGCAGATACAAATGTCATTATTGTGAAAAGGCTTTCACTAGAACAGAAGCTTTAAATAATCACATCAAAATACACACCGGAGAGAAGCCGCACGCTTGCGATGTGTGCGGCAGATGTTTCAGACAGAAGGGAGATATGAAAAAACACAAACGCACGCAACATAGTTCTAATCAAGAGATTTCTAAAAATTGCCATGGTTAAAATGTAGCATAAATAATTTTGTTGTTACATACATTTTAGTTAATAATGCTAATAATTAATGCAATTGTTTTATATACAGTAATATATCGATTTAAAGTAATGTATTCTTATTATTATGCGATAAATAACATATATATATTATGTCAAAACACAAGGAGAACGCAAATGGTTTTTAATAAAAATATTCTTGCGAGAGAAAAAAGATGAAGTAATATTTATTTCCTCTTGGTAGATAAAATATATGTATATAAATTCTCAACATCGATACATGATTTTAAATAATATATCGAGTATCTTATCACATTACCGGAAACGCCCCCCCCCCCCGCTACCTAATCTAATTTCACACACAATCAGTATGAAAATAGAAAATTCTATATAGAAAAGAAGGTCTTATATGAGGTATACAAATAGTTAATTATGTAGTAGGTATGTGTAATCAGTTATCCAATAAATAATTTATGTACAATACCTTTTTCGCGCTTCAGTGTTTTACTTTAAGGAAGTTTTTCTCGCGCTTCTTCTTTTTTACTTATATAAAGACACGTATTATTTTATAGTTATATGTACTGGGTTGTTCGGAAAATACATAGCGTTTTTTTAAATAAAATTTAGACGTATCGACTCAAAAAAGGCTGTGTTACATATAATTCACTGTCAATAAATTAAAAATATATAATATATAATATATAATATATGATATACATAACATGAAGTATAGATTCTTAGTACTGACAGTTGAAATTTTGGAACACAATCATAATTTATCTTCTGTAAACGTTCAATATGTATATATACAATGCTGTTCGATGTTGTTAATATATCTGCGTAACGTGTCTCGTGTTGTCATTTACGGTAATGACACTGAAAAACATTAGGAATTTTCCGAACAATCCAATATAAGACAATAGCAATATTGCTTGTGTCAATAAAAAATATTAATTACATTTCCCAAGTTCTAATAAATTGGTCACAAAAGGCTGAAGAGCACATTCAAGTTCAGCTTTATAAATACATATCATAATACAAATACATTATTTTAGTACTTTATAAATGCAGTAATAATAACGCAATCGTATATAAACGTATATCAGAAAATTTATTCATATGTTTATCATGTACAATATATATATATATATATGTATATATATATATATATATACAAGGTGTCCGACAATTATTTTAGCATCTCTCGTAGGTAGGTAGAAGGAGTAAAACCGAGTCGAAAAATCCTGAACTATTTTTTTCTATTACATATAATAAAGGAGTAATTATTGAATAAATCAGCACCGATCTTTAGCCGAACGCACGTCAGTGAACCACGCCTGGTGTGCGTGAGCGCTCCGCACGGCTCACTGACGTGCGTTCGGCTAAAGGTCGACACTGATTGGCTTAATTTATTCAATAATTACTCCTTTATATTATATACGTAATAGAAAAAAATGGTTCAGGACTTTTTGACTCGGTTTTACTCCTTCTACCTGCCTACGAGAGATGCGAAAGTAATTGTCGGACACCCCGTATATATATGTATATGTATATTATAATATACGTATACATATATATATATATGATTATACATATATACATATATATATGTATAAATCATATATTACGTATATTAAATATATTACATATATATGTATAAACATATATATATACAGGGTGTCTTATGAAGACCGTATCACCGCTCGTAAGTAGGTAGAAGGAGTAAAACTGAGTCGAAAAATCCTGAACCATTTTTTCCTATTACATATAATAAAGGAGTAAGTATTGAATAAACCAAGCCAATCAGCGCCGACCTTTAGCCGAACGCACGTCAGTGAACCACGCGTCTGATGTGTGTGAGCGTGGCTCACTAACGTGCTAAAGGTCGGCGCTGATTGGCTTGATTTATTCAATAATTACTCCTTTATTAAATGTAATAAAAAAAAATGGTTCAGGACTTTTCGACTCAGAATAATTCCTTCTACCTGCTTACGAGCGGTGATACGGCATTCATGAGACATCTTGTATACATATATATGTACATGTAAACATATGATATATATTTTAAGAAATTATATTTTATATTAAATGTGTGTTACTTGCGTGTGTAATTCAGTAAACACACTTATTAGCAGTATGTCAATAAAACTGACAGCAACTTCCACGAAAACTTGGCATCAAAACTAGTAGACAAAGCCTACTGAAAACAACTCGCAGATCGATGACAGACTGCGAGCAGAGTCTGCCGACACAAATTGACGAGCAAGATCTTGCACAGCGCAAATCGGCAGCAGAGTATGCCATTTCATACTCCCGCTGGCAAAAAATCTCCTGAATTTTATGACAATGTCTGTAGGAAATCTGTAGTCCTTCTGACGACAAAAGTTGTTATGGATTTTCAGCATGATAAAATCCGCAAAAATTTGCAGATTTTGGTCCTGACCAGGAAGTGTTTGTACTTTACCTCGATTGGTATGTCACACATACGAAAATCTTCGACATATATAAATAGCATAATACATACTTTACAAGATGGCAGAGTTCGATAAAATGAGGCTTCGTGTATGTGTGTGTATGTTGTTCAATTAAATTATTGTCTATAACAGCACTGACATTAAGCTACTATCGCTGGAGGTACCCAACCTCCAAAACCTCGCTCCAGTTCTTCAGCGACGGCAAGCGTTAGACGATCTTGATAAAGTCCTGCTACGACCTGCGATTAAAATTACATTATTTATTTAAAGAATAAATTCTGTGTAAACATCTTTAATTCTAGAACGTAGAAATACCGCACACGCACTTGTATACCAATAGGAAGCCCTTGTTTGTTTAAACCTAGCGGACAAGCCGTAGCTGGTAGGCCTAATACATTGATAATCGCGGTATAGGAGAAATTAAACGGTTTAAATAACGGCTCGTAATGCATCGGAGCGGCAGTCGGATGTGTCGGAAATAAAAACACACCATCTTCTCCCAAAATATCCTAAAACAAAAACAAAAATCTTGTGACCAAGTGTCATAACCGATGTCAACAGCAGCAGTAATATATATTTCAACATTACATATAAAAATTTCTGTATAAATAAATATATATGTAATGTAAGATATTATAAGATACGTAAAGTCTGTAACAGAATGTTGGTGAAAGAAATGTAGGCGATTGTACCTTGAATTCCTGATAGAGATCTTTACTTTGTTGTATAAGTTTGGCGTGTTTCTCGCTTCCACGCTTTATGCCGAATTTCTCGAACACAGCAGTGAGAATAGCGACCAAAGTATGATTGCTCATAAACAACGTCATCTTAACAAGTTCCAACCAGATGTTGAGGTGACCTTTTCTATCGGTCAGTTCATACGAAAAGTCCTTGTCATCTGTGCACGCCATATTCGCTAACCAAAGACTCAAACCTTTTTTAAATTTTTTTATGTTCAATTTTGTGGCTTTAATATTGTGCGCTTTCTTGAAATAGTCCAACACTCGTCTCATGGCGTCCCGTATTTCAGGATCCACCGGCGAAATTAAATACTGTCCGCCGTCGTCCTCCATATAATAAATCTAAATTTTGTATAAAAAGACGACTTTGTGTTTATTTATATGATAAATGTATTAAGACTATTGGATACTCGCGTTGCAGTCTTTACATAGAAATCACAAATATTTATATACCGCTGCAAGAATCACATGCGTCTATAAAATAATACTAGAAATCGATATTTTTCATACGTATCAGGTTTTTGAATGTTGCGTCGACTTGCCTTAATTTTGGAAATATCTACTTTTTCATCCAACTTCAACAGATCGGTATGTCTGTTCGCGATAATCTTGAGAGTCAGCGTCAAATCCTGCGCATATCTACACATCGGTCCAATTGCGAGTAACTGATCCTGATCTTCGCTGTGCGTACTGGGATACTGACCATCGTTCGAAACTATTCCTGTTGAGTGACAGTTTCGTTATAATAAGTTTATTATTAGTCACAGACGCATACTCTTAATCTTTTTTTACCTTTACTTGGCTTATGACCAAAAATTCCATTGAAAAACGCCGGCATGCGAATAGAACCGCCAATATCTGAGCCAATACCAAGCGGTGATCCAGCTGCTGCTTGAATACAACCTTCGCCACCCGAAGAACCGCCTACAATGTGTCTGAAAATACGTTACAAAGTTCTTACACATTGTGTCACGTAACTTCTCTTGTATATATTTGAAAACTTCGCGATATCACGCATAGATATAGGACACATGTACAATATACACACATACATGTATTTCTCTTCATTAAATATAATAAAACTACACGTTTCAATATAATTTCCATAAGGTTTCTAATTCTTTTTCATCACACATTTTTCTTCTTATAACTTCATTCGCTATGAAACTATTTTGAACCATAACATTGATTCTATTAAATGTAACCTTGTCGATAACTGAAGTCTCGATTCTGCTTTCGAAAAGCAGCGTGAAATAATATTACACTGATAAGGATGCAATGCATATTGTACCTCGTATTGTACGGATTCTTGGTTGTACCGAACAGACGGTTGTAGCTTTCCCACCACATTGCCAATTCGGAAACATTTGTCAACGCCAGAGGTATGGCTCCAGCCGATCTCAGTAACTTTATCGCTTCTGCATCTTTTTCAGCTTTAGTGTTCTTACGTATAACCAAACCGGCAGTCAATTGCATATTTTCGACTGCGATACAGTCCTAAAATGCCGATTTTTATATATATATATATTTTTTTTAGATTACATAATTTTTATTTCCGGAATACATAAATTGTAAGCATCGTGACACTAATGTTTTTATATTTATTCTCATATATTTGTCAATTTTTACATTAGATAATATAACATGATATTTGCAATATATTTCGTTGAACGTATCTAAGCTGAAAAAAAAAAACGACGATTAAATAAAATTACCTTGGTGGTGAAAGGTACGCCAAACAGTGGTTTCTCTTTGGATAGAAATTCCGCGGACGGAGCGTCCTGAGATCTCAATATTTCGTCACATTTTCTCGCTTCTTTAATAGCATTCTCAAACCTGTCCGCGACTACGCAGTTGAGTATTGGTTGAATTTCTTTTATTCTCTCTATGTAAGAAGATACCACATCCTCCGATGTTAACTGTGAATAATAAGCAATTAGTATGCAGCCATCTCACGGCTGATATGATATGACGCGCGTATACAAGCATTCATAATTAGGACTACATTAAGGATTATGATGCTGACGTATTTAATTCTATGGCAAAACGTTTTTATTTTTTTATTGCAACGAGATTTGATACAACAAAACAATCTGACTCTCCCCGCGATATGAGATAGAAAGTATAAAATTTTTATTTTTTATTTTCAATTTAATTTTCAATTTAATTTAATTTTTAATTTAATTTTCAACAATTTATTGTTCAAAACAAGCGATGCAGCGTTTGCGTGAGATACACAATCAAGTTTTTTCTTCGTTATTAGATACGATAGAAATCAGATAATAGAAGTTGCGCGCACAAAAAAGATCTCATACTGTACCTGTTTGTTTCGAATTTTTAATGCTAAAGTGGTTGCGCTATGCAAAAGCGTCAGATCTTTTATAGGCGGTTGAGATCGAGCCGGTCCCTTGACAAAGGCAATTAACAGCCATATTCCTCTCACGATCAGCTCGTAAAGACGAAAAGACACGCTCAGAATTTTTTTCATTTGCATTTTGCTTTGTGTTTGCTTTTTAAGTGACATATACCTGTCGAAAAAAAAGAGAGACATCGATATCATTTTACGCTGACGAGATAATAATCGCGCGCGCACATATGTCAAAAAAATCGCGGACTCAACGGTTTTTAAATAATACGCGTTAATCGGTATCGATAAGGAAATCGCGCTGTATTTGTTTCATTCTATTCTGTATTCTGTTCTCTGTAAATATTTATTGTATCATATATGTTTTATTTTATTATATATGTTATGTCATATATGTTTTATTTTTTATTATATTACATATATATAAAGACCACACGGGAGAAGAACTTGATAAGTCAATTGTTTTCGATTTTCTGTTTTTGATGTTATTTGGGTAGTTAAAATGGAGTATTTTAATTATCCGAAGCGAGAAAGAAAAATTTTTGACAGGTTCCGAGATATAAACATTTTTATAAAACGTTTAACACACAGAAATACACACACACACACACATACACACGTTTCGAACTTTAAAATCTCGCTCTCCTCTAAAATTACAAAAATGTGATTTGTCAAGTTCTTCTCCTGTGGTCTCTTCCTGGAAGACTCTTCCATATATTTACTTTTTTGTTTCTTCAAGATACGAATGTTTATAATAAAGAATTTATGCAAAAGAGAGTTGGTTTGATAAAATTATTGGAGTTCAAACACGCGGTTATCAAATGTAATTTTTGTTTCAGGACGGCAATACACATTTTCATCTCGCGTAGTTCTCTACTCTACTACTAATCGCGTCTTCTTCTCACAATGACAACCTGAACGACTGACAACGACATTGGGGCAAACGCATAAACACGTAATAGCCACACGTAATAAAATGCAGATTTCACGATCGCATCTAGCGGAGAAAAAGTGTGCATCAATATTTTTAATCAGACTGACTCAAAGGCGCGAATATCGCGCGTACTCGCGCGCACGCATGTTGTGCTTATTGCTGGATTTAACCATTAATGATGTAATCTCGCGAAATTACGTGTCAAGGCTGACAGAACAATGCGTTTGAGTTCAAGTAGCTTTACAACGAAATAACAGTTTAACGGAATTAATTAGGGTTACACCACGTGCGTTTACATTTCAATTTCGACGAATATATATATAACGTCGCACACGTTCAATCGTTAATTAACAAAACGACAATATCAAAGATACAAAAATTTGAGAATAAAGTAGTTCGAAAATAATGTAAAAAAAAGTAATTGAGTCGAAGCAAAGGCACAACTGCGCGTCTGCGATCGAAAGATTTTATTGATTAACCAAGTTAATCGGAATAAAAAAACGCGCTGATGCGTTAAGTTGATTTTAAAAAGTTAAATCAGTTGTCTTTTTATTCAAATAAATTCAACATTGCGTCTCGACCTTGCTTTTCAAATCCTTTTGTGAGGCAAATGCAAACGATGTATATAATTAAAAAACGTATTCTATTAAAATAAAGACATGGCAAAGTAAACACACATTGTGTAACGCGAAAGTTTTCTAATCGGAAATGGTTAGGTGTTTGAAATCGTACAAGTTATGGCACACAAAACACTTCAGCAAAACTACACAAGTTTCAATCAAATCAATCAGTCACACAGGCGCATTCTCTCGAATATGATTATTTACGTGCGAGAGAACGCTTGGTCTGTGATTGATTTGTCTAAGACTTACACGTCTTGAGTTTTTTTTTTTGCGTCCCATGATCTTTGAAACCGCTCTGGCGGGGTCTCATACATTTTTAAACAGTATTCAACAAACAAAACGTCAATTGATGACGTAGATTATTGAATATGTATTGTACTTTCATCTCTCTTCGAACAGACTTCAGATAAACAATATAAAAATACACGTTTTTGCGAATTGTTCGTCGAATTATCGCGTAAAAAATTATCCCAGATAGACTAACTGAGTGTAAGTTATTGTGGCAACTTGCCACAAATATGACTCGTATGTTTTCAGCAATGTAACAAAAGGGTGTATCCTCTTTTCAGTATGTTCTTGCCAGCAATAGTTTTCAAAATATATAATAACAGCAAGTTCTCAAAAACTCATCGGCAAATAAACTTATATTATTTTTCTCAACTTGTGAATAAAAATTATTGCTCATATATTGCTCACATATATTGCTGACTCACATTGTCATAAACATTGGCTACAACAATTGATTGATAATAAAACTCAGCACATATATTGATATCAAATTGACAAAAACATTTTTTAAGTCTTAATTGTTTAAAAACATTTTCGTTGCATTAAATAAAAACAACACAACAGCAATTAGCGAGCAACTTAATCTGTACAATATGATTTGCTTTATATTGAGTTTTCACATTTGGCTATCTGGGGGATCTCTGATCGTGTGTGTGACTGTTCGCGCGAAACAACAAAATGTTTCTCGACAATACGCTATTTTGCAATTATTCGAAATAAACGTTCGAGGTATATTGTCGAGCGCTGAAGAAGCTGAAAGGATAACACGATTGAAATATCTGCATAGTGTTTTTTTCTTTTTTTACAAACACGGTTGGATCTTGAATATATAAACAAACACATTTGAATGTATAGATGTTTTTGAATACGTTTATATAGAGAAAAACAAAGAAGAAAACAACTTTATTGTCTTTGTAGATACCGCGGGCTCATTAACATTTTTTTACTCACGTTAAAAAATTTGACATAAAAAAAAATCCAAACAACGTACGCATTTTTTGCAAAGAATTATTTATATAACATTAGATGTTTATTTAATACTTTTTTTGTTTGAACAGTTTTGGACGCACCGGTCTACTGTTAGACATTTCAATTTTTTTTCACTCACGTTAAAAAAAAATTCAACAATATGCGTATTGTCTGTGAATGAGAGTTATTTATGTAATATACTAGCTATTTATGTTCGAACGCGTGTTGTGTGCACCGATTTTCAAACACACACAACACGAAACTCCGCGCGGTCGGAGGAGTCAACACAAAAAAATAACCTAAATCTCAAACTAATAATAAAGAGTCCGTATAAATATTAATTGCATCATTTTATGTACCTCTGTAATTTAAATAATTTAACACGCGCGCTCACGCACACCAAACCGATCACCGGATGAAGTAATAAAGTGAGTCACATGTAGAGTCTGTGAGTCTTTAGTTTTTTTTTTTGGGAAGGAGGATGATGTCATATGAATCGGCAATTAGCTTAGAAATAAATATAATTTACAATATGGCATCGGAGAGAGTGGATCTAACGCGTGTAGAAAAAATTCTGATGAAAGAAAACGGTTGACAAAAACAACATAACGTTTTGTAACGTCACTGGAAAAAAATCGTTGCACGCGACGCAACTTCGCTTCAACAAACATTAGTATTAACGATAAAAAAGTTTTTTTTTTTCTTATCTACCATCTAATTCTCTGAATTGTCGCGACGTGCTTGGCGATTCGATCGATTTTGCAGAAATTTATCGGACCAGAAGAACACAAAGGATGCACGCACGATGCGCGTTTAACAAAATGACAGCCATATGTCAGATTGACATTTGTCCGATTAAAAAGTTTCTACGTGAAACTCGCGCGATTCCCTCAGGAATTTTCGATAGAACATAGGTCGAGAAAGAAAGTGGGTGGATTCACGTCTTTGTGTGATTTCGTTGAAAAAATAATCATCTCACAAGAACGTTCTCGAGAGACGATTACTTATCTAAAAATAAAAAATAAAAAAAAAAAAACAAAACTTGCCGGAGACCAAAAAAAAACTCGATATTGTTATAATCGAAGCGAACGCACACGTACCGAGAGCACAAGCGCCAAATAAACAAAATAATTGAGAGATAAATACACGGATATTAATTATATATTAATCTTAAGTTTGCGTATTTATTTATTCGCTTTATTTATTTTACGCACCGAACCGTGACTTATTTGTTCTGCGAGATCGTCGGTCAGTTTTTCTCACACAGCGACGATTTCACTTTTTATTAATTCTCGCCGCCTGACATTAAACCGAACCGAGATGCTGCGCGAGGAGGTAATATAATATTGACTTAAGAAATACTCACACAGGATTTAACGTCGTCACAGCGCGATGAGTTCTCGTCTCAGCTTGGGGGAAGGGGGGGGGAGGTATCCAAAAAAATTAAACAAAGAAAAAAAACATTCAACGATTCAGTCGATGTTCGTCAACACGCCGACGTAGGAGTGGTTTTCGTGCCGGGTTTCATCGACGACGTGACAACACACGCTCCTGTTGCATTCCTATTCGCGTATTTCCGCGCTGTGAGAAGCGATGTAAAACCGATTTTTTCGAACACCAAACCTCGACTGCCGACAATCTCGCGGCTTGATTTTCGCGGAGCGTCGTGGGAGCGAAACGACGTGTGCAACGCGGCGTTTACCAACACCGGGGACGAACGGTACACACACACTCGCTCGTCCATCTGCCACGCGGCTTACATCACTCACAGAGAGAGCTCCGGTCCGTCTCCCCGATACGTGTCGCCGCCTATACTCCGAACCGGGAGAGTCCGCAAACACTTCGGACTGTCGCGAATTGAGTCGCGAACGGAACGAGCCTGCGCGCAACAATCTCGGCACCCTGCGCGTCGAGAAAAATATAAATGTATATTCACGTACACACGCGTATATATGCACGAGAGACACAATCGCAATTACAGGAGCGGTCTCGAACTTGCTCACACCGAGCTTTGTGTGTGTGTCGTTTTATTTAGCAAATTTTTTTTATTCAGCAAGAGAAGCGCGTATCGGTTCGATGTTTTCGGTTGGAGCTATTTTTTTGTTTGCTACTCGTATCTCCGATTGTCAAGTTGATCGATCGATTGAGCGTTAATCGTAGTCTCGTTTGCTTCGGTTAAAATACGATTAGTCAATTTCACAACGGAATGAGATTAAATTAGAATCAAATTGGAAATGATAAAAAAACTCTGACCGTTAACAATTTAACATTTGTACGTACATACGTGTGACGTGTGATTTGACTATTTTAGAAATTGTCTCTCTCTTTAAGGGGCGGCTTTTGATTGAAACCTCGCGAATTTTAAGAGATACGATCCTGTCCGCGAGGCGCTCATGAATATTTCGCGTGAAGTTGGCCGCGGGACGGAGTAAAATGGCAGTTAAATCACAGTGACACACGTCCGGATCCCTAACCTCTCATCCCGACTCTCCGAAAGTGAGTACGGTTTCACTCGGAGTGATTTTTTCGAGGCCACTTGTCCCTTCCGTTAAAACGCACACGTGCGTGTTTGTCGAAGTGCGAAGTCCACAATAGCGCGCCTTCCACCTTGACAGAGTTCACAGATATGTACATAATTTACTGCTTGATTACAAATATATATAACCTAATCTAACCTAAACATCCGTGTAGTAACTACTTTTTTTGCCGCGAAAACAAGAGTTGAAGTATATAAATAATATGGTTGCGGTGAGTCTTGAATTGTATTTGTATTTGTTGTATGAAAAACGCGATTCTTACGCACAATCGCGCGACACACTCGCAATGACAATCAGCGTAAGAAAATATTCACGTGTTGGTTTTACATGAAAACAAACTTGCATCGAATCGAGAAACGCAAAGTTGAACACTTTTATCCTTATTTCAATTATCTTCTGACGTAGTAATGTCAAAAAACAAAATCGAAGTCGTATAAATACTTCCGACAATATGTATAACAGTATATGTAATATATTTATCACGCGTATAAACGTCTCAGAGATAAGACAAAGTAGATAAACTTATCTTGCAAGTGTTACACCGTTCATTTTACTAATATTGAAATATTGTTTTACACTTGTATATATGTAATATACAATAATATATATGTATATATTCCTATTTTATTAAAATTACATGTATATTTCGGGATAATAATTTTTTATTGCAAAACATCTCTCATCTATAATCTGTTTTTGTCATGCCACGTGTTGTGAAATATTTTAAATGTAAAATATTTTATCTTGTTAATTCTGTGGAGACATTGTGTGTATGTCAAATTTATAACGAGTTTATGATAAGTCATATGTTTGTAAAAAAACTTGATTAAAAACCATATATTCTAGTATAAACAATTTGTTTGTGGTTGTTTTCTGATAAAAACGACACATTCTATGTAACATTTATTTAAACTAAATATTTTTTTATGCACACTTGTTTAAGTTTATAAATATTTTTAAAATCCTTCTATTTTCTGTTGCAAATTTGTTTTATTTTTAAATAACGATATTCTTTAATCTTTATTTTAAATAATAAAACTACAAATACATATATGTTTTAAATAATTCAAAAGATAGGAAGTAAATAACCATGACCGCTTGCGTTTGCTTCACTAGTGCAGTGGTTCTAATGTCACATTGCAACCACTTATCTCCTAATCGTTTGACAAAAAGTGTTTAACACGCTCTGTAATTTTATTATTGCTCTACTCTCTTGTGTCAAGCAAGACTGTCATTGCGAGGTCTCTTCGTGAGAGAACTTTATAAACGAAAGGAGAACCCGAGGTTGAGTTATGGCACTCGGCCATAAATCTGACTGCAACACAATCGAAGCGTTATTAAATTTTCTGATTTTTAAATATAATGAAACGCATCGCACACACATATTTAACAAGCTTATGCAAAAAAAAAAAAAAACATTTTCAACTTTACAATTCATTAAATTAAATTTTTTATACATTTGGTTTTGCAAATTATTATCTGTTTAAAATTCTGATGAGTATTATTTCAGTCTAGCAATTTGGTCTTTGAGGTTTTAAATTTTAGCAATTAAAATCAAAACCGCGTCGTTTTTATTATGCTATGCAAATATCCGAATGCATTGAGTTTTCGCTGCTCTCTCGCTGAAGTTGAATCTGCACGGTGATACACATGGCTGAGCAAAAGTATTCTAAGTCGCAATTGTCGAGGGACAATCAAGTACTCCGTGCGGGGAAAACTTTGCAGAGAAAGTAATTGAGAAGGAAAACATGTGGTGTTCTCTAAAGCGTCTCGCTTTCTAAATTTGCTATCCGTGCGATACAAAAATACACGATGATACTTTTCTTATGATTATTGCTCGCAATATGATAATTTACAAATAATTACAATGTCGATTTCCTGTTCAAATTAAAAACTTACGTAAAAATAAATTATCTGTTTCTTGTTGGAAAAAGTTTGGAAAGTGACGAATGAATATGCAATTGTTTTCGAGAGAGAGAGAGAGAGAGAGAGAGAGCATTAATTAAATTATGTGAAAATTCTATAATATTGTGTAATCGCATGTGTATAACAAAAATTTACATACTAATTATTATACATATTTAATAATTATTTATTATAATCTTCAACAGAGTTCTGCAAGATAAACGATGGAATCTTCTTTATCAAAGTGCATCTGACGAAGCGGTGCTTCTTCTTTCGATTCTGGTCGGTACTCGAAAGAAAAAAAAGAAAACTGATGGACTCGACGAAGAGAAACGGTTTATCAAACGCTCGATCGAAAGATAAGAATGAAGAAACCAAGTGCCAAAGTTACGACACTTCTGGTGATATACAGGAACAAATGAAGAAAGTGGAGGTGAACCCTTCTTCGCCCACCAGCGTGTTAGCCAAGAACAGCCTAATATTACCTACGGAAGTTATCAGATCTAAACAAATCGAGCAAGTAAAAGCAAAAGTTGAAACAATGTCGTCCGGATCTGCCACTGGTAAGAATATATATATAAACAATGTTTATAAAAAATTTCTCTTAATTAACGTTTGAAACTGCAGTCCTTATATATACGGCTAAAAAAAATAAATATAAAAATTGAATAATACAAACGTGAATATATCAAGTAACAATTCTGAAATATATTATAAATTAAATGATGGTAAAATTAAATAATAAATTATAAAAAGAAATTTATAAATTTTAATATTTAAAGTATATATATATATATATATTGATAATTCTTCGTTTTATATATCATAAAAATATAGTCTCGCGTTTTTCACAGCTTATATTTAAGAAGAATTTATAAATCTCATATTTTTCATCCATATCAATTCATTCTCCATTGAATTGGATCAATAGTTTGTCGTAATTCACTGACTTCTCTCGCGTTGATCTCAGAGACGCGCGCTTCGACTGCTGAGAGATCCTGCGTGTTGAGCTGAGCGTCGTCCATCGCTACTATATTGATCTACCTGTCTCAGGGTTATATTCGGCCGCGTGTTTCAGCGCAGTACCTTCCGGTCCTTCACCACGAGATCACACCGGAACCTCATTCTCTCGTCTTTGTCGACGTGCGATCCATGTTTCGCATCGCGTTTTGTATTCCGTCCCGTTTTGAGAATTATCGCAAGTGATAATCTTGTTTCTTTTTTGTTCATTGACAATGCAGATATTTTTCGTTGGCTTTTTCGTTACATAGAATATTTAGGCGAACGAGTTTAGGTCCATCCATTAGTCGCGCGTCACTTTGTATCTATATACACGTATCATAATGTCGGTATTAATAGCCCGACGAATCAATCGATGATACCCTGAATTATGTAGCCTATATTAATACTGTTGAAGTTATTTCATTCAATTAGCGTCGCCGAAACAGTGAACGATGTTTACTTTATGTCTATTTATTTGTTAGAAGTAATGACTCGAATCAATTCAAAAGTTCGAGTTTTATAGGAAAAACAACGGCATTTTCAATATGCATATATTTATTTGTTTACACGATGCTTTGATCATTTTATATTTCTTATTTTGTAGTTTTTAATAGTTTTCTTCAGTTACTCGTTTAGATGATACAAAAGTGACGTAAAAGACCGATTGCAGCGTTGAAAAATTGATTAGATTTCGAAGAACAAAAACCTGCTTAAATAATATTTAAGGAAAATTATTAAAATGATTAAGATATTTGAGCAATTATTGAGAAGATTTAAAATATATAAAAAACAAATATGTGTCACTAAGTACGAGGAGAAAAAAATATATTATTTAAGACAGATGTGAAATTGGGAATAGCGCGCGGATGATAAAACTTTAAAACTGAGATAAATGTGCAAAATTGGTGCAGGATATCTGATAGCAAACACGTGTTAAATTAAATCTTTGTATTAAATTGAGAAGTTTTAATTTATGAAGTGATACGATCGATATTTGCGAAATCGAGAAATTTGATTAAAATTATATTAACGCCGTATAATTTAATAAATTATTTAATTGCTCATAATTCCATTTAAATAATTGATTGCCATTATAGCTATAACTGTTGATAATTAGTAATAGCTGTTAATAATTAATCTTCTATATCGATATATGTTTTCTTTTCCATATGAGATCGTATAATCATTCATATATTATCGGTATTAAATATATATTATTTTCAAATCTTTTTAACGTCAGACACTAAAAATAATTTTTACTTGTTTCTTTTGTTCACTTCATTTACATCTTTATTTTTTGTCGTACAACAAAGATGCTAAAGAAAGCTAATTATTGATAAAAAAAAAAAAAACCATTCGGATAATTAATATCACAAACTGACGTGTTTTTAGAATTTTTAACCCGATGGCGTGTTTTGTGAATTATTAAGAGAAATGATCGTGTCTCTGCAATTATTGTCGGTTCGATGAGAAAATGCCACGATGTTGCGGCGCTTCTTTAGTTTCCGCCGCGGATGGCAATGGGTCTCCGCAGAGTCTTGGTCTGCAGATCCAGGATGGTTAGTAATTAGTGTAATTGCCAATTAATCTATTTTTATAATAGAGTTTATCTGCACGCGAACATGCTCATCGTTGCGAACATAAATGACACACTGATGGTCTGCATTACAGTACAGATATTGTAGAGAAACTTACAGAAGAAAACAACTACTTCAGATGTTAAAACTAAGATCTAAAGTGTTGATAATGTTTGTCAGTTACAAAATAAAGTTGTTTGTACATTGTAGATAGTTTTACAAATAAAACTATATAACTGTAAAACAATTTTGTAAATTTAATAGTTTTTATACATATAGTATATTTACAATTTGTTATCTCTAGATACGTGCGTTTGTGTTGCGTATCAAACGCAATTTTGAGAAAAAAAATATAACAAAATGGCTAGTCTGGAGAAAAGTGGAAAGAAATTTTTGCTCACATTTTTATGTTTTCTCTTTTACTTCCAGGAAATCCGCGAAATAAAACAGCCCTAGCACCCGGACATAGTTTGATGGACTGGATTCGTTTGGGTAATTCGGGAGTCGATTTAACTGGAGTCGGTGGTGTGCCGCGAATCGTAACATTATCCGAGCTGGCTAATCATAATAAGCAAACTGACGCTTGGATTGCAATTCGAGGTGTGTTTATTTATATGCACTTTTTATTGTCTTGCTAAAAAAAACGATTACACGTTATTATCAATAACTGTTTAAATTTGTAATTACGCGGTGTTTCACATATTTAGTTTGTTTTATTACATACGTTATTTAAGAAGTTTTAAATAATTTTCTGAAAAAGTTCACACTTAAATAAAAATGCTTCTGCTAAACTAAAATATCTGATCTTTCTACTTTGTAGTAAATTGGACTTCTTTTAATTGCAGGAATTGTATTTAATGTTACGCGTTACATGGATTTCCATCCGGGTGGGGTCGACGAACTGATGAAAGGCGTCGGAAAAGACGCCACAAAGTTGTTCGAAAACGTAAGATTCCTTAATTTTCGTCGCACGTATTGTATCGCTACATCATCTCGCTAATTATTTTTACGTACCCATAGATCGTTAATTCTAGGTGCACGCTTGGGTGAATTATCAGAGCATACTGCAGAAATGCGTCGTGGGCAGATTGAGTCGCAGCTCTTCTTGCACATCGAGTACTTCTTCCAGAACGGAAAAATTGGCCACGGGTGCGAACAATTGTTCGTCCGTGACGTTAGGTCTAAGTTCCGCTGGTAAGTGTTCGTTATGCTCTGTCGCGTCAAACGGTTTTCTAGGTCGTCTATATTTAGCATTGCTGAATTAATAAATCTTTAAAGCGGTCTTCAAATGCATAAGTTTGTGCGCGTGTATATAAATGTTGAATTATTATAATATAAAAATGTTTACTAAGTAAATTATAAAAACAAACTAGAACACACAAAGTTTTTTTTTTCTTATTGTTTCAGCACAAAAGAAAACTGAAGAAAACTCGGATATACCCAATGTAAATATGGATTGGCGGCAAACATCTAATTCCATAACGCTCTTTTATCAAGCGGTGCACACGTATCCAGGAGTATATTACCAATTACAAAGATTGAGCAACTCAAAAATTATCTTTAGACTCAATTTTGAGAAATATATTATCGTTCACGAACTCGAATTAACTGCTGATGTGGAATGGCCGCCGGTTCATAAGAGAGATTTCGATACGATGCAGGTAAATTAACTGACAAACAAATAACACGTTTTATATTGTTACATCGCGCGTTTTGTGAATACAAAAAAAAAAAAAACATTTTTAACATTGTAGGTAGACTTTACATTTACAAAGAGGATCACCAACATATGGAAATCTCAGGGAGATCATACGTTATTGCGAGAATCCATTACAAATAAACGCACTTATAAAGAGTATGAGGTACTCAGTAATACATCCCTTTGCAAACTAGTTCATTTGTTAGTTTTACGCGCCAAAGATTCTCTAGAACTAATTCCCATTGGTAGACACGTAGAAGTCAAAATGAATGTAATGGGTGAGTATAAAATAAATAAAATAAAAAACTTTCTCGACGTTTGCATTTACTTCTTATTTACTGAAACGTATATTTAATTGCGATTTATTTGCGATGTGATAAGAACTACTAACGAAAAACGAATTATTTTGTTTTCAAACATTGACAAAAATATACTGATAACGATATGTAACATAATGATATACATTTATCGCAGGAATGGAAGTATCGAGGTCGTACACGCCTGTCCCACCGTGCCTTCATCCCGAAGATATGGCGCCACAATACAAGCCAGATTGTATTTGCTTGATGATAAAGCGATATCCAAATGGCGCACTCAGTCCGTCCGTCACAAATTTGCAACCTGGCCAAACCCTTACGATGAGCAATGGTTTAGGTGCCTTCGTAACCGAATCTTTCGATCGGTATCCTACCATTCATATGCTGGCAGGTGGAACGGGTTTAACCGCGATGTTAGGAATAATTCAGCGAGCTTTAGCGAGACGCAGCGTGTAAATACAATCAATTTTGAGATTTTTTGCAAATTTATTTAATTTTTTGGTTTCCGAAATATTGCAAAATTATAGAAGAACACGTCGATGTTCAGCATCGACAACGGAAGATAAATTTAATTCGAAATAAAATTATTATTTAAGTTTTTCTGTTTTAACTTTTATAACTCTTGCAGAAAATTAATCAATCTCCTAAACTTCAACAAGGATGAAGACAATATGTTTTATGTGGCACAACTTGATAAAGTGTCTGCAGAAAAGAAGTGAGTATGCACGCGAGATAAAGTGTATTTGTGTGTGTATCATACACACGCATTTACATTTCTTCTTACAAATAATAATTTATCAATCCGTATATCTTCGTGTGTAATATCTAAATGTATTTGTCAGGTTCAAAGTTACACATATCCTTTCGCAAGCAGACGATAAATGGAAAGGTAGACGTGGTACTGTTAGCGATGAATTGTTGAAAGAACTAATTGGCGAGTCTTCGCCAGACGGATGTATATTTACGTGTGGACCAAAAGGATTTATGTTATCCGCAAAAACGTACGTGTGAAAATTTTATATATTAGAGAAAAATCAAATTTATATGATTAAAAATTACTTTTGCGATTGTCTTCATTCTTAATCAATTATTAGTTTTTATTCATTAGTTTTTATTCATATTTCTATTGACTTGTTTCATTATGTTTCAGGAGTATAGAGAAACTTGGTTGGAAACCTTGTCAGATATATGAATTCGACGATTAATCGTCTTCGTTGAAAGTATACGTCTTGAATATACACATATATATATATACATTTCCATTTTTTTTCTAGAGAGTTTTTAGAGAAAGCCTAATAAGAGCTGAAATACACTTGTACCTGTTGAACCACGTTGATTCAGTTAAATATTACAGATTTTTCCCGACTACGTGAAAACTAGCTGTGTTCACATAGCTATGTCTTTTAATCACATGTATATTTTTCTGAAATTATGAAGAGAGATTTTTAAGCACTTTTACTCCCGTCTTCGCTCATGACGACGCACTTAGCTGCGATAAATTGTAATATTGCAATTCTTGTAAAGTTATTCGTAATTTTGCAATTGTATCGCGCATCCGAATTACAAAAGATAAATCACGCTTCGCGATTTATAGATAGAAAGTGAAATGTAATCCAATTAAGCGCGGAACCCGGTTCTAAAAGTTAATATTTAGGAAAATATGAAAAAAACCAAAAAAAAAGAAAAAACCTGGTTAGTTTCGCACCTGTTGCGTAGAAATGACGTGACGATTGTTATTTATGATTCGACACGATATGATGGTCGTATTTTTTTTTGTGAGCGTACATGGTATAACAATGAACACAATTAAGCGGATAAAAACTAATTTTTATATACCGATGATTTCGATGAGTTTATAATTCGTAAAATGCATTTTATGTATATAAGGTGAGTGTTTTTCAATCAGTACATACTGTTTATTCTTGATACGTATTGTTATATTTCTGTAAATAATGGCAAAATCGAAATATAATTGTTTCTTTGAGTGATGTTTTGTAAGCTGCTGTGCGCATTTATTACATACGAATGTATCTATGTAAGCCAATATTCATTGAGAATAAATGCATACGGATGAATGAAATCAAAAAAGACCGTCTGTTTTTTTCCGAAGGAATATTTTTGTAAAAAAAGAAATAATACCGCTTTTTAACGTCGTAATTGGCCGCAACGAGGATCTTGAATAATTTAAAAGTGGAAATAAAACCACTGATATTCTCTTATAATTAACAAATAATTTAAAATATTTTCGACAGCGCACATTTTCAACTTTGTTATTATTTTTATTTCATATTGAAAATACATATTTTTTCCAGCGTTGATTTTACACTCTTGTATATATATATATATATATACAGCTTAAAAACAGCAACGTGACATAATGAATCCTTGTTTCTTTCTTATTTCTGGCAAATTCTCAGAACATTTGAGAGTGCTACAAAAAGTGAGAAGTTACACCGAGCATCAAGGATACGTTCTTATCTCCTCTCTTAAGCAAGAAAAAACTGCTAAGCTTTCGAGTGCATCGCGAAATAAGAAAGAGGAGAGAGGAGGATAGAAATTTTCACCTTCAATCTCTCCAAGACGCTCCGTTACCTCCAATAATGTACACTGGAATATTTATCTAAGCAGTTCAAAGAAGAAAGAAGAAAAGAGAAAGAGAGAGAGAGAAAGCTTAATAACGTCTTTCCATCGTTCTCTTCCTACCCTTCTAGCGAGCGGTTTCTGCAAAAGTGCCACGCCGACCGTTCGACCGATAAGAGAGAACTTTCCATAATGCAAAACTTCGAGACCGGTTTAATTTTCCGGCGCCGTATACAAAAGTGCCTATTGATCGCGGTAAGTTCTTCCCCGCGATGTGACGTAACGACATCACACAGCCGGGTGGCAAGATGAATGTCTTTTGGCTTCTCTCTCGCTGCGCGCGCGTTGTGTCGTCAGGTCTAGAAGAAAATTATGTCACACAGGCGGTGCGACGACGCCGCCGTCGTCGGGTCCCGATCGCTCGATTGTGCGACCTTCTTCTTCCTGGCCTGCGTGTTGCTCATCTCGACGGCTTCAGTAACTAGCTGCGGCAAATTGCGCAAAAAGCTTAGTAACATTTTAGCAAGAGAACATCGCGAAGATGCTTAACGACCTGGATATATGTAAACGCGCCAACGACTTCTCGCTATTTTGCGACCGGTGAAATCGGCGACTTGTGGTCATTTAACGCGCCGTCGATTAGCAAATCTCTCAGGACTCTCTCTGGTTGTGTTTTTGCAAAAAAGACATTTAAAGATAATTTGTCTTTTCTTTTTCACATCACAGACAACAAGTTTTTCACAAATGTCCTTTGGACGAAATATTTTCCGCGCGTGTTGTCTGGATTTCTTCCTCGCGGAAAAAAAAAGCTTGTAACATTTCGTCATTGCGAAACCGTGTCTTTGTTAAAACACGTAAAAGTCAACCCTAAAGTGGTGTAGTCGAGTTGACTGGATTAATGTCTCTGTCAAGGACACGTTCACAATAAAGCACACTGTGTATATACGAAGAAATCTTGTGCAGCGCGTGTTGTGTATTTGAAAAACCGATACCCCGCGCGGTGTATCGGCCCGATATTGAAAATTAAAATTCTATACACCTAGTAGGAGGGAACGACTTTATCTCATATCTCGCGCCAGCCGTTGTATGTAACGTCAAAATAGTTTTTCCGACACAATGTCGGCACGTAGTGTGCAAGGCACGTGCGCCCTGCAAAAGGTGTGATCGGAAATATTTTTAGTCCCCGCGGTTCTCCCGTCTCAAAATCAAAGACGCGAAAAATTCATCAAAATCCTTGAGATTAGACGATCGCACGATCGCAGATAATCTATATAGATGTAATTAAATTTTCGCGATGATTTTTGCGAAAAAAAAAACAAAATTTCATAATTTTTCTCAGATCGCACGCGTTTCCAAAATTGTCAAATTTTCCGAACGCGGTGTGTTTCGATTGTTCAAAGTTTTCGCTGAGAATTCGAAGTTTTTTTTTATCAAGTCACATCGGATCGATTTAATCTGTCGTATCATTGCGCGCTCTCAGAATTTGCAATTATGTCTAAAAGATGTAATCACAAAGGGAGTGATGATAGTTGTGAAGCGCGCGGAATCAGCGGTGATATATCTCTGTGTATTTCTCAAAAGCCGCGCAATGTACTATATACATGTCGGGAATGTGCGATGGTCAAACAATGCATCGCAAGAAAAAAGAGGCTGGCATTATACTCGCGGTTCCCAGGATCGATCGCGTCCGTTCTTTTGACACGATGGAGATAGACGGGTACACACGCGGGTAAGTGCACGACAAAAAAGTTCTTTTGTTTTAGCACGGATACGTAAATACTTTGCCCGGCGAAACCGGGTTAGTCACGTAGCACAAGTCAACGAAAAGTTCATGGCTGATGGTGTGGCCCGAGTGTGTCGGAAAGTGCAACAGTTTGTTATCAGCATCTCTGCAAGCTGCCAATAAAATAGCCATTGAGAAAACAATGACAAGCAGGCAAATAAAAAAAAAAAAAAAACTAAATTAAACTATAAAAAAAAATACTTTGTATCTACTTTATGTTTGTGTGTAAAATATAAATAAATAAATATATAGAACGCATAATTTGTAACCAATTATTTTTTGCAGGAACAAATAATACTTTTGTAGAGAGAGAGAGAGAAAGAGAGAAAAAAGTATATAAACTTTTGTGTATAGAAAGTCGTTTCCGTATACAAGCGATGTTGCGCGTTTCTTGCACGTTGGTATCGGTATCGGAATTGGTATTTGCAGAAAGATCCGTGAAAGAAGCACGAATTTATCGTAAAGCTGAATAGAAATCGGCAGCTGGATTGACATCGCAAAGTGAGTGCAAGAAAGTGCACTTGCGTTTTTCTTTGAGTTTTATCAAGAAAGCAGAAGAAGAAAAAATATATTCTAAGATATATAAAATTTAAAGAGCGTCATTTCTTCAACTTGTGTGTCGCGCGATTTTTTTTTCAGCAAAATAATCCATCTCGTCGAACAAAATTTTGAAACTTGCATTCTCCGTTTTTTCTCAAGAGTTTTTTTTATTCCGTTTCAGAAAATATATAACACGAATAATAATAATAATAACAATAATGCAATGCGAATTGATGGAAGTTGATTTTGTCGATAGTATGGTAGACGTACAAATTTATCGCGATATACATTAAGAAAAGAAAAGAAAAAAAAAGAAAAAGAAAAATACACCGATAAAGCCATATTCTTTCCATTTTATTATTATTATCGTGAAACACAGATTCCGCTCACGGATTTCTGTAATGTCTGTTTTCTCATTCCATCCTTACAAGAAAAGTAGTTTGCATAAATTGATGAAGTAATTCAGTCGTTATTAGATCGACAGATATATAGAGGGTGGGTGTGAGAGCGCGGTCGCGAGGGAGGGGAGGAGAGAGGGTGAATGGGATCGCAGAATAGATGAATCCTATTTTAAGTTAAAAAGTCACTCCCGTAACTCACTTCCACTCATTTCGACCTGCCCTCTCGAGAACCAACCCCCCGATAAATTCTAATCCAATTATTCCGCCCCCGTCTATGTCACAGATGAGATCATGGTCTAGTAGAAAAGGATAGCGCGGGATTGTTAAGCCTGCTGCTTGCGAACTAATTCCTACTGTTGAGCGCAATTCGGTTCTAACTCGCGCTCGCCTGGGAATAGTTAGCGTTACATCTAATCACTATACTTCCTTTGAGACGCGAGTTTTCCAACTTGCGCCAATTCATTCGCAAACTCAATTTCCCCGCTTCCACACACATAATCGCATTCTCTCATAACTTAATAAATAGGATAGCCAGTATTTGTGAATTGTGTGTCGCGCACGCTTGCCGCACGAAAATCCGCCCTTTTGTGTGTCATTTGTACATTTATTTGACAAAAAAACAATGATTAGGAATATATTAATTTACGAAGAATAAAAAAAGATTTTGCAATACAGAGAGAAATAAAACTAATATCTTTATCCACACACACACACAAACATATTTCCGATGTATCGATAGTTCCTATTCGATATTCGTTTCCAAATGTCAATATCGAGACGATATCGAGTTTTCAACCTTCGCGATCGTTGTTCAGATATTATTGAGTCGCATTATTGGCGCGACCTTTCACGTGTAAAGGACACAAACGTTCCCGCGTCTGTGCGTGCTACCTATCGCGAACTTGTTATTCAATGTAAAAAATATTTGGTTTATAAATATCGAAAAAAAATAAAAGTATCTCAATACAAATGTGAAAAAAAGTGTTTTCGAGCTTCTGGAAAGTTGAAAGCGTCATATATCACGACGCTACGATATATGTTACATATATTATATTATATATTAAAGCAAAAATATCTTCATTATGTAAATAAATCAATCTACTAAAACCACTGTAGAAGCGACGCGGGAAAGAAAGTAGATGCGGGGCGACGCGCAGCAAGGACACGGTGATGACGGAGAGATGAAGGTGGTTGGATGCCACCGCGCGGCGTCCAGGGGTGGGAAGAGGGTTGAAAAGAGAGAGAGAGTCTCGCGTCGCGCGCGCGGGGAACGGCAGAGGGTGCGGATGTACCGGCGGGGGTGGTAGGTAGGCGCGCGGGATGGGATGCTGCGTGAGAAGCAGAGAGAGGTGTTTCAGTCGCGCGGCGGCTCTTGGCCCGGTTGGTCGATCGAGTTGGTCATTCGGTGCAACAACCAAAAAATAAAATTATACGATAGAAAAAACACAAAATAATCATTTTTGGTTTCACGACAAACGCAGAGAGTATCATCGCGTATATTTTTTTTTTCTCACGATAAACTCTGGAGTGCGAATACGAAATCGCGTAAATTCGCGCATAGAGAAGAGAACCGACAGGCAATCGGCGTGAACAACCACCTGTGTCGTTATCGTCGTCGTCGTCGTCGTCGTCGTCGTCGCCGTCGTCGTCGTCGTCATCCTCGCGTGATACGCGGACAACTTCAGTTCGGACATGCACACACACACACACACACACACAACACACACACACGCTCGGCCACGCGCTTCGTGAACTCTCGCCGATTGTCCGTCGCGTATTCGCGACACTTCGCGTTCGTTACGAACCGCGCGGGCACGAAAAAGCAGCAGCTTTTGTCCTCATTCGCGCCACAGTTAATCTCGCGAGGAGTCAAGGTCGCGTTCGGAGAAGATTCTCCGCCGCTTTCCCACCCTGCGCGACGTGTGCGGGGACTGTGCAACAGTGTAGAAATTCGAGGAGTTCCTCGAGACCGAATATCGCTGCCGGCTGTCGAAACCGGCGATCATCGAGAGATCGCAGATATAGAGCATCAGGAACCGGGGGATCTTCTCGATGGGAGGTAAGCGCCGTGTGTGTTACAAGCTTGAATGAGTTTCCGAAAACTCGTTCGTGCAACAATTCGCACGGGGATTGTTCTTCTTGAAATAAATGAGATCTCGCGAGAGTTTTGTTTCCCGCGGCGATTCGGAAGCCATATTTTTTTTTGCTTGTTGCTTGACGCGCGCGATAATTCGGACGGCGCGCCGAGTGCGTCGATGCGATTAGGATTTTTTTTTTTTTCAAATAAACAAAAAACAAAAAAAAAACAAGCAAAGCCGCGTTAAACCATAACGAGCGCTGACCACTTAATACAAGTTCACATTGTGTACACGACGCTGCTTTTAGAGAAAAAGAGAGAGAGAGAGAGAGAATGATATCGGGCTATATGTAAGAAAGATGGCTTCTAATTCTCTCAGTATATTTCTCACGGCGAATACGTTTGATGCGCTCGTTTTACGTGCGCTTTATGCTCCGACGCACAAGGTTATTATTAATCGATCGCTTTTGCGTGATAATTTTAACCTGGCGCGTTTTTTTTTTTTTTTTTTTTATTGATTTGCATAATTCCGCCAATCGAGATATTTTCCAGGCAATATGGAAATTTAAATTGCTCGGAAATGCGGCGGAGACGGCTATAATAAATATAGCCTTCAAAACGGATGTAATATTTGATGCGCTATATTACACTCGCGCGTGTATATACAAATTAATAAATATTAATCCCTCAAAAGCAGAAGCAGTTTTTTTTTTTTTTTTTTTTTTTTTTAAATAAACTTTTCATGCGCGTTTGAATAATAATGTATATTTCAAAATGCGCCGGAACATTTTGCACGTTCATTTGCTTTCTGTTTATTACAGTGCGAGGTAATTATTAATCGATCATTTTCGGAACACACTCGCTCACGGGTCATTTGCTGATTTCGAGTTTGTCGCGCGTTTACACAATCAATTATACGCACGAATGTAAGCGTGTTTGATAAAATATTCGTACATTTTGTTTTTTGAAAATGTTGCCGTTATTAAATATAAATGAGAATTATATGATATACCGCAAAAAATTGATAATAGCTTGATTAATATCAAATGTATTGACACGATGCCGAAGCTTTTCCCACACATGTGATTCTCATTTCAACACGTAGATTCGTTACAATCACAAAATATTCGCTTCAACGAGATTGAAGCAAATATTTTGTGATTCTATATGTACATATGGTTTTTACATAATAAAACGCTCGAATTATCTGCTAATGAGCTGCCGGTAAAATATAAAAAGCAACTTTTTTACGGAGCTTGCGAGCTTTTGTTCGAAATAATTTTCTGCCGTACATCGAGTTTATATTCGACTTCGAATATTCGAGACGTGTAATATCGTCAAAAACTTGGTCTCGCGCTCCGCATGCAAATTCTGTATTTTGACGCCAATTCTTCGTAATGTTATGTCTGTTAAATATTATTTTAAGAAATCTTATGTACCAAAAAAGAAAAAAGAAATAATAAAAACAGTGCAATTATCAGATAACGTTGTGCACACACAAGAGAGTATCAAGATGCAGAGTTTTCGATGCACAATTCTCTCAGGCGCAATCACTCTTAACACCTCGAGCTACCAGCCGTTTGATCAAATGCGCTTTTATCTTCACGCACACAAGAGCCATAAAGAAAGCAAACACTTCGTAACATTGACACGAATCGGAGATTTTCTTCTCAGAAACGCGTGTCTCTCCCGACGCGTATTACGCGATTTGTGTGCATAATCAATTCGGGTTCGTATACGCCACCTCGCCGATTGGCGGAAGCTCGATAAAGCGCGACGACGTTTGATCGCGCGCGGATTGGCTGAAAAGCCCAATGCCAGCATATGTGAAATCGCAGTCAAATGTGCGTGCTTATGCGTGTATGTGTGTGTGTGTGTGTGTGTATACATATGTATGTACATATGTATGAATACGACAAAGCAGCACCCCCGTATGTGTTTACATTGTGCTCAGCGGTACGTCGCGTCGTCGTCGTCGTCGTTGCGCGAATCGCTTCAAAGCAACCCCGAAATATCTGTTCCACCGCGATGGTTACCATTGCGCAAACAGACAAATACATTTTCATGGAATGTAAAATATGGAGCAACGGTTACTGCCGCATGAATTAGTGAACATAGTTTCCATCTCCATATGTATATTTCACCGGGGCTGATAGCGAATTCCTTCACTCTCCTCTCCCACCGTCTACCTCTGACAACCATAATTCATAGTTCACGGGGGAGGGGGGCGGGGGTGGGATAGAGCATAACCCTTAACCCTTTCAGTCTCTCTCCGACGCATTCGCGGAATGACAGTGTAATATTGAAACGTTTCCCGACTGATGTCTGAAGATACGGTCAGACTGGTATGTCGAGGTCTAACGAGACTTGATTTCGGACGTTTAAGCACGCTATCGGCTGAAATTCTTGTCCACGGATTTTGGTATTGTTATACATAATTTTATTATTACATTGGTATTTCGTCGGTTGTGCGTATATATATTTATCAATTGGTAACGTTTATATTTTATTGAAATTAAATTAAATTCTCATTAAAAAACCGGAATTGAAACCCTTGTGAAATTACACATCTCGGAAATAAGAATTATACGTGTATTAATTATTCTCATGTATTAATTTTGTGTGTGTGAAACGCGATTTTGAAAGTATCTACGACAAACGGAAATTTCTTAAAATCCTTATTTGTTCGAAAATCCAGCTTCTAGTTTAAGCTATTAGTTTAAAATATAGAAGTTTCTGTTTTCGTCGAGGAGCTCAATAGAGTACTAAACTGGTTGACCTTATATGAAACGAGTTTGTTTACAAAGAGAATCTCTCTCTCTTTCTCTTTCTCTTTCTCTCTCTCTCTCTCTCTCTCTCTCTCTCTCTCTCTCTCTCTC